ATTTGGACTTAAACAATCTGCTTTTGCTTACCGTATTATGGCTCTCCCATAAAATTGAAATGAAAAACTTTCACCGTTACAATGATAAGTCTGTGAAACTACCTGGTACGCACGAACAGCATACACATTCCATGCTATCTGGGCCTTCGGGTTTCGCCCCGGAGGTCACGTCTAAATTCCTCGGCATGCTAGCTGCGTCGACAAGTAAATTTGATCAGCCGAGGTGGTTGTGTCTGGATGTTTTCATTGCTGGAGACCAGGTGGTTGCTCTATATTATCATGACGGGTACAAGGCATTACCACTTGACGTCATCAGAAGAAAAGCTTGATGTCATTGGTTTCCGATTCAGATAGTATTTCTGTCGGTATAAGGTTAGGACCTTAATTTAAAAACGCCCAAATACGAACTTAAGGAATGTCGGAATTCCACCGGCATTATGTCGTCACTGTTTTTTTTTTCACGAGGTGACAAAACACACCTTTTATCTTCGATTTTTCTCTGATATTGCGTTTATACAATGATCTGCAACTTAATTTTAAAGCCAGAAATCGCTTGAAGTAACAGAAAAAAATTATTCAGCCGAATTAATTGCTGTTTCCGGCTCTCTTCGTTTTCGTGAAAACGAAAATTTGATTTAGAGTTTTCGTAGAAACTTACCCGCACGCAGCATGTGTTTTCCGATGCCAAAGGGACGTTTTTAACCCATCGCATGTTATACCAATATTAACAAAGACACCAGTTCACCAAAAAAAACCCCCTCTTTTTTAATGGAAATAAAGAGTTTTGTGTAATTTCTATTTACTCATACCACACAGCCAATGTGGGATCGGGCGCAACGGGCAAATACAAGTTGGCAACAAAATGTACTTTTTGGAACTTCAATTTTCCTTCTTTTAAGATTTGAAATCGAGCTTTTCGGAGGCACAGCCCACAAAATTTCGCAAGGATAAACACCCTAGTGTATAGACATTTTGCGTTGCAGGTGTGTCAGAGGGTGCTGTCTATAATTTTACTTTAGTAACAATGAATGCACCAAAGGTTCATCACTAATTCATTGCCCACTGACTCCACCTTCAATGCAAAATGTCTATTATAGAGTTTCAACTATTTTATGATTGGTACTCCCGCATGCTCCAAATACCACGTCTGTATATGCCTAACGTGCACACTCAATAACACGCCACCTAGTGATCGTGACGTCATGTGACGTCACACAACCCCGTTTTACGTATTATTGTAGAAGTCAAGAGAACAAGTCGTTCCCAATTTGGATACCTGCCAGCCAGACAGACAGGAGACTGGTCTGAAACCAGAGGCGGTACACAAGTACACAAGTTTTTTGCAACCAAGTATAGTCAATGGCCATAATGTGCTGATGCGTCAATTGGTAACGGAATAGATCTCGGACTTAACTGTTTTCCTTTAAAAAATCTTCAAAGCCATGAATGAGAACAAAAGGTTGCTTATATTGTATCGATCAGTTGGACTTGATTCAACACAATATTTATGAATGAAAATTTGGGGGAAAATGAACTGATGTAAAATTAGGGGATTCGAGCTCGCAACCTGCAGCACTTACACCACAGGATTAGCGAAGCACGCCACAGCGAAGCCAAACAATCCGCCGTGGAATATAAACTAAAGGGAGTTATGTCAAAATCATGTGACTTGTTTTATTCATTCACCTGATATGTTTCACGCGTGCATATTACGGTTATTGACTACACTTGGTTGCAGAAAAAGTATTTGCCGCCCGTTTGGGAGTGATCAACTTTGTGAGTGGTTACACCAGAAGATAATAAATTGTATTCTTTGGTGCAGCCCCTCCTTTTACAAAAGCCGCGAATCGGCGCTTTTTTGGACATCGGGCTCATTTGTTTTTCTTGATGGAAGCATGACAGCTGGGACCAAGGTGTTTGATACCTGCTTAATTATTCGGCGATAACTCCCGGAAAATGGCTCTCCACTGTTCCCTGTCCCCCATAGCAGCCGGTAGTTCTTCTTTTAGGAAGCCCGTATCTTGGCAAATGCTGTCCACATAGATTGTATTGGGTCTTCCTGTGGATCGTCTACCATGGGAGGAAGTCCCGAGCAACAGGCTGCTGACAGCAAGCTCAGGGTGCCTGTGACAGTGCCCTGCAAATCTTAGTCTCCTTGCCCTGATCTTGTCACTGATCTTGGTACCTATAAATCACATGGCTTATACCTTTTACTTGTAACGTATTGTCAGTACTTCGGGACATTTACATGTGGGTTAATTGATATTGAACTTTGAAAATCGTTTTCGAAAACTTTGTTCCGTCTTTTGCTTCGATTTCGGACTCCAGCTAAACATGGGTCCACATGTTCTGCTAGGGGAACGTGTAAAGTCCTAAGACACGAGGCCAAATTCGCATGGAGTATTTCCATTCTATTTGCATGCTAAAGGCTCATGGTACTAGCTATAGGAGTGAAGGCCGAAGCAGAAGTTTTGAAACCCCGGACCCACTGAGGCCTATTTCTGGACATACCCCCGACCACCATCGATTACGAATGATTAGGAAGAATTTGGTAAGAGTATATATAAACCTCGCATAATGGTGTAATGATAGGTAGCACCGTCCCTAGCCAACGGCAATACACCAGGATTCCACAGGTTTACTTCGGAATGAGTTTTGACAGCTATCAAAGAACTTGGTATTATATATTCAATTCCCGTGTATGCGCCCATTCAAACTAGGTCTAAGTTATCAGTTTATCTTTGAGCTGGGGCAGGATACGAAAATTAAAGGCATAGAGGATCATTTGCTTTTCGTGCATTTCGTTCTTTTCCAATAATGACATCACTCAAAATCCAAAGAAGAATGTTCAAAACCTAACCTGTAGAAGCTTCAGCTCATAAACCATGCGCAATCCAAAGTGAAAAACCATGCACAACCTTTTGATGACGAAACACGATTTCGTCGATAGCACTCTTGTCAATTGACTGATCGTTGGACATCACCGACATTGCATGATTTCTTCTTAATGACAGCAAGCCAGACCGATTAATTCCATGGGGTATTTAGTACCATGCAGTAGTCCAGTACGATCTTTAATCAAAGTATAAGCTTTTTGATAATAATTCGGTGCATAGATACTTTTGGGATGAATGCAAAAGAAATGACCCAATATGCCTTTATGCTGGGGTAGAAATGGAATTAAGTATTAAATTTCTGTTTATGCAACTGAAGCAGGCCACTACAAGACATAGGCCTATCCCTCTTCCAGACTCTTGCACATGTTCGTGTCACTGGCCTGATGCATCCAATCTTTCTTAAAGTCTTCCAGCTCGTCTCTTGGTTGTCCTCTTTTGAATTTGCTGTTTCTAAGCTTGGCTGCCATTCAGTCAGCTGCTTGTCCATCCGTTGTCATTCAATCTGGACACCTGGCCCGCCCACCTCCACATGGGTCCTTGCTATTTCACCTTTTGACAATCTCTGAGGAAGAGGTCATGGTTTACTGAAGACACAGAACCAACTCTCTAGTTTTGAGAGGCCTATACAGTAAATTGGGGGGGGGGGGGGGGGGAGTGTGGCCAAGTGGGTAGGGTCGTGACTCATGATTGGACAGTCAGGGGTTCGAACCCTGTCGTTGGCCATATGTTGTGTCCTTGGGCAACCATTTCACCCCACTTGCCCCTCTCCACCTAGGAGTATAATGGGCAGCGGCAATAGCTGATTGGGAGTAACCTGCGATAGCAGCCCTGAACCAACAATCTCGTTTAGAGATAGTATTATAAAGCCATTTCTTATCCACTTGCCTGTTTCGACACAAAGTCATGAGTATTAATGGGTACCGGCGTTATCTGGGGAGTAACGTGCAATGCACTGGAAGTCTGGCATCGCAGAACAAACCATATAGTTACTTCAGAGATAGGTCTATACAGTCACCTGGGAGAGGATGGCCAATTAAATTACAGTTCTTGACTCATGATCAGTCGTTCAGAAAATATTCTCAGTTGTTTCATATTAACGAAACGGGAGATAAACGCCGGCCTGATGGGCTATATTGGCTCGTGACAGATTTTATACTGTACAAGTTTCTTCAAATATTCTCCATCCACTTAAAAGCGCATTTTTTTTCTACTTTACTAGTTGTTCGAGTCCAAAAAAATAAGGAAAGTTCTGAAATGGGCTTCATATATTCTCTCACAGGTTTGAGAGATTCCTTCCCTAATCTGGTTACCTTACATTGTCACAACGTAGACCTGTCAGCCCCTTTACATGACATTTCTGTGCTATTATTCCGTGTACGTGACTAAAATGTGGGTTTCTGTGTTCCGCGACACTCTTCTTGTATGTCCCATAGGTCATGGAATATATATTACCCATTAAACAGCTGTCCTGTATGTGCTCGTGCCAGTTGTGAATGCATTCACACCGTTTTCTCTTTTTCTGTTGGGCAAATTCCGATGAGTTAAAATTGTTCGACTCGCTAACCTCCCGTCTATATTAAGTCTACGCCCTCTGGTGTTGCTACGTGTCAGCACTTTATTTGCACTATTTGCGATTTCAGTTCGCCCACATTCTTTTAGAGGTATAACCTGATGAACCAAATGACACAAACAAACAAAACCATCATTTATTGGGTCATCAGAAATAATTTCCTGGCGATGACTATAGAGCAGGCTAGTCGAAACGTCGAGACCAAAGACAAGTTAGCACTTAAAGCAGGACGTACTGTAAATCAGAAAACTACTTAGCGAAGTTGATAATAAGCAGGACAAGTTCTTTTCAGAACTAAATATCTACTGAGCAGTTATTATTTGCATGCTGTTACAGCAAACCGAAACGATACAGAAATAATGTGTAACCTGTTTCCCCTGCACATAATGCAATTATGTAATTACTGCACATTACACTTGTTGGATGTGTTTTGCAAACAGGGCGGAAGCTCAAGTTGCTCTTATTACAAATTCCAATCACTCCGGTAAACTTGAAATAAAAATTGCATGGAGTACTGTCTGAAATTGATTCCGATGAAGTCTCGATTCGCTGTGCGACACAGCAAAGGTAAGACATATTTTGTTCTCGCCACATCACGACCGTCTCTAGACACTAGACATCCGAAAACAGACAGACGTGGCGGGGAATACTTTCCATTCCGCAAATTGCTCCTAAATTGGCTGTTTGGCAAATTGTAGTATTTTTCCCGAATAGTTTTGCTGGAAGTTTTTTTTTTGGTTGTTGACGACCCATGCTAAGTAGCAGTATCGTTTATCTTCGCCTTCAGCCCTTCAGGGGCGCCCTGCCGCGCTGGTATGCCTTCGGATGCCAGGATACGCAGGCCCCGAGTCCCGTTGCGTCTTCAGCCCCAACCCGATTACATCCACCCCGTGGGTAGCATCTCAGCTTGCCCCTCGCTCTCTGACCCCGACGACTTGATATATATTTAGCTGGCAGGAAGACTGCCGATCAGTCAGTTTGTCGAGGAACGTCAAAGGCTTCACATCTTCTTGACAGCTCTCTCACTTGCAGTTTCGAGACTGATTTCTTGGCTAGTTTCTTTTGGACCAACGTGCGTTCTTGCTTTTTTTGTTTTACTTCGGATATCTTATAAAACATCATTTTACGACTTCGGCGTGGACTTCCAAGAGTTTCTGTGACCATCAAGGGTCTTCGTAGTTCACCATCCATTTCAAGGTATTGATTGTTTTATTTATTTTAAATTTTAATTTTATTTTTATTTCGAAAACATCCAACAGCGCAAGCGCCAGAACAGGATGGATAAGACTTGGTATAGAAGACGTGGACAGTACAGTTTACGTGGTGGGAGGAAAACCCCAGAATGATGTTCTGGGGGAAAACCCACGGAATCAGGTAGGGACTGAAAACCCAATCAACCTATTGGCCCAGGTGGGATTCGAACCCGGTCACAGCAGTGGAAGGCGAGGAAGGTACCGCTACGCCAACCTGATGCCCCTATTTGTTTTAAAGAACTTAGCTCGATAGCTTGTGTTAAATTTAAGATGTTGGCATTAGGTCCTGTTTTAGTTTAAATCTTTACTGTGTAAGCCAAACAAACCTTCAAATAGAATGTATTTAACCCGGATCGGGATAACACCAACTCTCTGAAAAGCTGTTATTACTTGTTTAACGTAGAAAAAGTTTAACGCTTGACGTTCAACTTTTGACATCAAACGTTTAACGTTATACATTAACGTTTTCCATATACATGAATGTTAACGTTAAAACTAACAATTACCTTTGCCAATTCTCCTTTCAGATGGGGCGTTTGTTGAGATGGGTTTGGATTCTGCCGTTGACTTGTCTTTGCAACCTTCTGTTAATCCAGGCAAGAAACGGATGTAAGTTTTTCTAAGACCTTTTTATTGCTGTAATGTTTTAAGTCGACAGCCGCATGCAGTATAAAATGAGGAAGATTTTAGTGTTTTCGCTCTATACCAAATAGCATGCTCTTGTTTTTTGTTCTCGGAAAAAAAATTATTTGAAAACAATCTACAACTATCGTCAACGCACGACCTTGGTGTATAAACAGGGAAGATGTGTTCCTTAGAACTCAACTTGAGATTTACTTGTTTCACGTTCAGAACTTGCAAAAGTGTTTTAATGAGAAAACTCTGTGAAACTGTGCATAGGCCGTGTCGCTGAATCACAGAAATCATGTACTTGGAAAAATAAAGAATGTTATATGTTCTGTGTTCCAATCAAATTGTTGCTCGGAACATGAATTACGTTTTTTATGGGTCAGATATTTGCGGAATTCGACAGAGCTAGAAATAGTCGGACCAATCGGATGTCAGCGGGGTGCCGGGAGCTTCTGCCGTGTTAGTCGCCATTCCAGGCGCATTTTGTTCACTCAGCGGTCGATGCCGCTCGCATCCCTCGGATCGCGGAGCGCATCACTTGCAATTGCTCCCAATCTTCTTAGATGGATGCACTGTAAGTTGCTGTCTTCTAAGACAAACCTGGCTCCTTCACTCACTCTAAGCTAGCATCATAGACACGGGAGCATCGCAAATGATTCGTCCGCTGGGCCATAATCGAATTGCTGGATGAAAACATTCCTGCGAACATTGGGGGCGGGATGGATGGCTTTCGACTGAAATAGATCGGATATAAGTCTAGGATGTAAGGCTCCAATCTCAATATGTTTGTTAGTCTATGTGATTCTACATTATTGCCTGGTGTTATTATAGAAGAAGCCTTCGTAGATTGAAAGCTATGCACAAATATGTCAGAAAGAATGATTCAATTTCGTTCTGATCGTTTGCCTGAGTGTGGTTCGCGATTTGTTAGAATCAGTCCTAGAATTAATATCATTGTTCAGATTGTTCTGGGTCTTGTGCTTCTCAGTATCAAACGTTACCAGAATTCTTGGCTTTTACTGTGGTATAAATTTTCACTTTTTTATTAAAGGTGATGGGAACTTTACTTTTGTGTGTGTATTTTTGTCGTTTGAAGTGACAATAATGCTCAAAATCTTAAGAGGGATACATAACAACAAACTTGTTTTAAGTTTCAGCTCAGTGAATACTATACAGGATGAGTTAAACAAATCACGAAACCCAAATGTCGGAACCATTATTTTAGTGAAGTTCTGCATGTAGCACTTTCAAAATCTAGAATAGGAAAGCCCAATTCATAAGCTCTTGTTTAGTACAAGAAGCATTCAAATCACTCATGTAATTTTTAAGTTACGGAATTTTAAACACAACCACCGTTTTAAAGTTCTGTCCACGGATCACAAAAAAGGTGTGCGTTCTTTCAGCAAAATGAAAACAAATCACATAGGGATGTGTGTTTCCTTTTGCTGAAAGAAAGCTTATGAATTGGGCTTTCATATCCCAGATTTATACATGCAGAACTTTAATACACTTAAACAATAGTCCTGACATTTGGGTTTCGGTTTTTTTTACTCACCGTGTATATTTCAAGAAAACATAGAAAACTACCTTCAACGATTGTTTTCCACCGAATGATACCCTTTAAGGTGCAATAATTTCACAGGGTATTTGGTACCAGTCCTCTCTTCACTTTCAGCAAGGATTTTTTTTGTTAACTCGGTAGGTCCGTTTCCGGGTTATTATGTTCCTAGTACGTGCCTTTAGATTACTCAATGAGCTAAACGCATCAGCCGCAACTCCCTATTATTTTTGTTGAAGAGCGGTTACGGAGTGCTGGAGAATTCAAGACTGTCGGAATAAACGAGTTACTTTGGGCTCTGTAATAAAAGATATTTAATTGTATAGAGTTGAACTTAGTAACATTACAGAAACGTGTGTAATTGCACAGTGTGTGCTTAATGACTTCACAGAAATGGCGGCCTCTGTTGTAGGAACCGACATTGGCACATTGGCAATATTTTAAATTGACTCCATAATATTGACTCCATGATATTTTCACTAAACATATTTTGTGAAAAATTCCCATTTTATGACCCCTTTAAGTTACCTGAGCAAAATTACAGTGAGTCATAAAACCACATTGATATTGTTCGGGCAAAATGGTCCAGAATGTTATAATACGAGCGATTCTGCCGATATGTAAACTCAAAAGCAATTGCTGCTCTACGAGGAGTATTTAGGGAGTTTAAGCCCCCCCCCCTCCACTTAGGCCGCCCCAAAAATGGCAAATAACATGAAAACAATACGAGACGCTGGTTAAACCCCTTTTGGCACCCCAAGCTAAACCTGCATCCGCCCCGAAAAGTAAGCCTTCAAAAACAGGAGCGCCGCTGAAGGAATGGTGTTCGAGAATTTACAAATTTAATTTATGACAAATTAACGTCGATGTATTTTGTGTCGACAGTTATGTTGTCACACCCACATACAAACCGGTCGGGCGACACCCCGTGCATACAGTCCTGCCAACAAGTGAATAATTGAAAACACGAACAATCGTCTACATTTATTTAGTATCTCCACCATGCAAATCTCAATCCTGGTCCCGACAAGGGGGTTGGATTGTACCCGTGTGTATATAGAGCGCCGGACCCTTGTAGAAGCCGTGTTGGATTCTTGCTAGTGTGAAAGGCGTCTCTGAAATCCCCGTGATTCGAATTATCCAGGGGAACTATTGTCAAAATTTCTGGGGCTCACCCACCGAAATTAAGGGTGTTATACACGGGAGTCTGTTATGCTGTCGACTTCTTGCAGAGCTGTAATCCACTCGCATGTCAATCACATGCGTTTAATTTGTAACGTTTTCGTTGAAATACTTGATAGGCCTACTTGACTTGAGAGCTGATGAAATTGTGCTTGACTCGTGATGGTAGAAGTGACTTCATTACAACTCCTGAGTTGTTGGAGGACCCGAAATACAAGCCTGTCGTCCTCTGACTGACTGAGGCACTGACTGACTGACCGACCCACCCACCCACCCACCAAACCATCGACCGATCGACGAACGACACACCAACTAGCTTGAGTCACTGACTTATGCACCTCTCAGTCCCCCCCCCCCGGCCCGGGCTGCTCCACCCAAGACGTAGGGATTGTCACTTTTTAAGTGACCAAACTTCCCACCCTGGGGATTGAAAAGTGAGCAAATTCCGACATAGGACCTAGGGCAGGGGGAGGGAGGGTTGGGGACTTGAGGGAAAACAATTATTGTTAGGTGCATAATGACTGACTGGCTGAGTGACTGAGTAACTCCCCGAGTGACTGAGTCACTGAGTATAAATAGTTACCTAAACGGAGACTTTTGCAGAGTGACTGGCAATCCTAGTCTTGTTGGATGTACTTGACAGATAGTTTGTGTTTGCCTCGTTTCAGTATCCGAGCTAAACCTCCTGGATCTGTTCCCAATCAAGACGACCGGAGTTCCCGGGGTGGCTGTGGTGCAAGAAGACGGCTCCAGCCTATTCGGCGAAACCTACGAGTTCGACGGTCGCCTGCGATACAGCGCGCTCATCGCGGACGAAGTGCATCTCAAGACCCTGGCGCAAGAGCTCAGGCACCGGGACGATGTGTTCTTTGTGGCTCGGGTGAAGCTCACGGCTGGCGTGCAGAGCGTGCTGACCGGCGTGTACTCAGTCAACAGCGTACTGCCTTGCATTGAGATCTTGTTTGACGGCACGAGCGAGGCCGGTGGCAAGGGTAAGTTGATACATTGTCGTGATTATATTTTCCCCAATATATAAACCGTTTCACGGACAGCGCCATCTTTGTGATCAGGTGGTGGTCTTTGGGGAAATTTCCTTGAAAATACTTATCATCATGCCAGTGCACCCGATGCATCATGGGACGTCTTTTGAATGAAACGCCCCCCAGAAAACCACGTGATCACAAAGTGAAACGGTCTATGACTTTGATTGACAGAATCCGGTTCGTTAGTAAAAAAGTCATACACGCGCGCGCAGCACTGATTATACTAGCGCCCATTGGATAAACACACAAGTTGCGCTATCTTCCGGTAAAGGTTACAATGGTTCCAATGCTAGTGGGCGTGGTTTAAACTAAAGTGACGACACACTAACGAACCGGATGCCTCTATAAATATGCTACCCCTGTACTTGTTAGTATCGGCTTTTGCCCTTCGTCGGCGATTTGTGCTGGTCCCAGAGGGCCAGGCCATCCTCTTTGTACCCGACTGACTCACTGACTGTCACCTGTGAGCCGGGCAGTGCTATCGCATATGATTACCCGGTTACGCCAATGAATGCGATAAATCCGACCAGTGTGTCGACTGATGCATGCATGTAACAAGCCCACTGAATAGCCAATTCGAATGAATGTGACAGATCAGGCTCGGATTGAGTGTCGAAGGCCCGAGGCACCAGTGTTCCGAAGAATGGAGAAGGAAGGGGAAAGGAAGAGGGAATAAGAACAAAGTGGAGAATGAAAATAATAAACACCGCTGCTCAAAACTCCGCATAGCTAAAATCAGGTTCTGCAACCCATAGCAAAAGATTGTACATTCTGTCATGTCGGCGCAAGCTGCCGCGCGAAGTCGCTTCATATACGGGGGTTGACAGCTACAGCCATGCAAAACACAAGCACGTGCTCGCTCGCAGGCACTGTTTTACAATTTGAGCTGACTCTTAATTATTAGTGACTACTTAAAATAACGAGGGTATATCTCGATAGAGAGTCAAGCTACAATTTTGATATTTGCGCCACAGAGCATCTGCAATCCAGAAATTCCCCGGGGCTCTTAAGCGCCCCCTTACCCCACGCCTTAAGGGCTTCACGCTCGCATATAAAAAAAAATCCACTATATGGGATTTAAAGACCCCCCCCCCCCCTGCAGTCTGGGATCAGGGAACAGCGAACAAGGTATGCGCAAAGGTACTTAGCATGTACATGCAGTTTTGCGACAATGAAATAAAAACATTCTTTTATAGCTGGATACAATTCTGTATTTTTTAGCAATTTTAAAAATTAATTTCGAAGGATTACAGTACAAGCTCTCAATATAACAAATTAATCATTCTTGCAATTGCCCTCCTATAGAAAAGAAAGAAAATAAAACAAAAAGTTATGTGGCGATGGCCAAGTCTTCAGGAGTCGGACTTATGACCCTAACTCAATGAGCCCCTTACCGACTTCCATATAGAACTCTTCTGGGTCTCGGTACCCGGCCCACCACACCTCCTTCCCTGTCCATCCATGTAACTCGAAAGTCAGGCACCATAAAGGGAGGAAACGAGGTGGCACCCTAAGCCTTGCTGCCGAGTCAGCAAAAGAACCCCGTACCTATACGCAGACGCCAACCTGGACTTCGCAGACAGTCCCAACTTGTGAGTCAGCTTACCGACCGACCGAGCTAACTGCTGTTGGTAAATGACGACGGGAATTTAATACTCTTAAATGACAGAACCGCGGGAATCGAAAACCAAAAATTGACAACAAGTGGGTTCGAACCCCTAACCCCTGGGTCCGCTGTCAGACAGCTTAACAACTAGGCTGTTTCAGTAGGTGCTTTTCTCTTTGCGTTAAAAGCATAATACTTATTTCCGCAGTAGGAGAGTTACTTTGTGTTTCATAGCTTCACGAAAGACGCTTCAGCATCGCGCTATACACACAATGATGTTACGTAACTCTTTTCTTATCATTCTTATGTACCGTCGGAGCAGTTGACTATTCGGAGTCAATACGAGCAATTAACCTCGCCAAGCTCGTCCTTATTCTGTCTCATCAATTGTTTCGCGTCGCACGTCTTTCGGCCGGCACGGACATATCGCGCTGATTGAGTGAAATTCTAGCAAGTTCCCCTTACCTCATTATATTTATATCAAACTACTGACCCGTTTACAAATATTTACGAGGGAAATTTGTTTGTCTGATTCTAATTCAGCTCCCTAAGCTACAATTCCGGACAAAATGGTTGGGACACTTCCTGAGCCTTCCACGGTCACCCACTCCCCCGCTCCCCCGGTCAATGTTGTTCTCTCCAGCTGATGGAGCACACACTGCGCAATGAGAGACAACATTGAACGGGGCCCGGGAGGTTGGAGGCACAGCGGGATTTGGCCAGGATTGTCTGAATTTCTTCATAGTTTCAAATGTGCATGATATGCCGTTTCAGGGGCTGTTTTCTTGAGTTTTGTTTCCAAAATGTGAAATGGCGGCCGGGGGGTTGGAGGCCCAGCGAGATTTGGCCAGGATTGTAGCTTGGGAAAATTTATCTTTTCTTGTCCTTACGCTAAGTCTAGGGAATGATGCCAATGTAATACAATGTCACAGTAACGTCAGCCGGTGGCATGATTAAAATCGTGACCACGCGAATGCAATGACGGCCAGTGGCGTAAATCACAGTGCCGGCGAGTAGTGGGTGGGGGGGGGGGGGGGGGGGGGGGATGAGGGATGACCAAAATCATAAATTCGGGCGATTCACAATGCAGTGTCAGTTTTTCAAATTTACGGTCGACAAAACAAGGTCCAGTTTGAATAAGTGTCCTTAGCTAATTTGGTTATGAATTTGGGTATAGGGTTCTGCCGCCTTACCAAAAAAAACCCCACCATATTGATACAAAGAAAAGAAAAAAGCAAATTTATACTCGAATCATACGCTTACGAAACTACTGACCGGAAAAAAACTGACAATTTCAAAAGTCCCGCGCTGCGAATTTGTCGACCATCTCCCACAATGCACTAGAAACAATTTTCATCTCAAACCATGTTATGAGTAATCAACGCCTGAAGTTGGATACACTTGGAAAATCAAGTAATAAGAACCGGAAAGTGTCCCTGTCTAAAAAAAAATCCCACATAATAAAAATCCAGAGCACACTTTTGTTTGGCGGGGAAAAAGTGGATCCAAACATTTTCCGCCCCAAATTAAATTTGACAATCTTCCAAAAGGCTAGATTGCGGGTTTCGGAAATACATTCTTTGACTTCAACACAGAGACAATGGCCCACATTACATGAATTTTGTTACATTACATGAAACAAAAACGGCTGTCCTTTGCATAAAGCACCCATCCTTGAGGGGGGTTTTATTCTCAATTCAGCACATGAATACATGTACCCAAAATTCTACTGATGCGTATTCTTGTGGAGCAAAAGCACTGCACTTCCAAAATGTTGTCTTGGATAGAGTTCATTGTAGCATAAGTCTGTATATACTTGTACTTTGAAAAAGTTTGTCTCAATGTATAAGTCTGGATTTTTGTGTGTGTTCATTTTCTCAGTGACGTTCAGTTACATGGCATCAGACGAAAGTCACACAATGGAGTTCCCAGGTGTCAAAATAATGGACGGCAATTGGCACACCTTCATCTTGCACCTGGGCAAGCTTCAAGAGTCCAACAATGAGGTCGCTCTTTACGTCAACTGTGACCCCATCGGCAAACCGCAGGTCATCACCAGCCGGCTGGGCAGGACGTTCAACAAGAAGGCCTTGAATCTGGCGCAGATGAGGGTCGGCCAAAGTGGGCTCATCACCTCACCGAAACCTCTTATGGTAAGACCTCAACAAACTTAGGCCGTGTCTGAATCACATGGCTACGGCCGGGAAAAAACAAACATGCGCACCTATGGAAGCCTCTGGCTAGCGGTTGCTGCCACTTCCCATGACTCGTGTGTTATCCCCGGCCGTAGCCATGAGACACAGCCTGCAATATCTGACTCATAACCTTCTTGCGCTACATCGCCATATTGGAATCTAAACAAGGCTGACATGTTAAAGCAGAAATTAACGAATGTTAAAGCAGAAATTGCGCACACTATTCAGAACGAATTACGAGCGTCCCGCTCTAAATTCAAAAGTTGAAATTGATTACTTGTCATGGGCCGATTTGTTCGTGCGATGTCTCATTGGAATGTTCATAACTAATGTAATGAATTTAAAAATCTATTTTTCAAGGTGCCACATTAAAAAATCACGTAATCACCAACTTTAAGAAGTGTGTTTTGGTCGTTTGTTGTACTTTTATGGAAACAGTCGTCCTAAGTTGTTGCCTTTTGTCATTAGGGTAAAGTGCAAGGCCTGAAGATATTGTTTGGTGGTAGTCTGGAGGAAGCGTTGGGATCCATGGGCTGCCAACCGCTGGACGAGCGTGAACGGGACGGCGTTGGTAAGTACAATGTGGTCTTACAGTGAGAGTTTATCAGACGTCCAGTTACAAGTACATCACACAAGTCAGTACACAAGTCCAGTCACAAGTAACACGGGATGACCAATAAAGGAATGCCTGTGTCACAGTTCATTTGAATAGCTTTTGACTTGAAGTAGGGCTGGGTGACTTGTGATGAAGTTATGAGGCTCCATCACCAAAGAGGGTCAAACGAAAAGGAAGAGGAAAAAGAACAGAAACCTTTTACAATGTATGAAGCTTTTCGTATATATTCTATCATTTGTATCGTTTGTGGGAAAGTTTGATACTTGAATCTTTTGCTTATTATAAGCTAGTTTTATATCTACGCCAGTCGTGTGAAAACGGTATAATTTATTCAATATTTGTTTTTTGCCCTTCACCGAGGTGTTTAAAAAATATATATATACACTGTATACTCAGTGATGTCCCGAGTGAGTGTGAGAAAAAAAATCACTCGGGTGGGACTCAAACCTATATACATATATATTTGTTTGTTACAGTTTGTTTACAAGCTTTCAAATACCAAATTCCAGTGCAGTTGTTGGAACATTTGCCCCCTACGTCCAAAAGTTATCAACGTCTGCCCTGATAACACAAATGCCCTGTGCGGAGAGATACTTTACAAACAAGCAATTAAGTAAGTTACTTTTGTGTGAAAGTGGTATAAGGATTTGATAAGTATAACTTACAGTTGACTATTTTCGTCTTCAGCTTCAGGAACGTTGGTCCTAATGGACTCGTTGAGTTCCCTCGTTGACGCCATCTACATTCTGCAAAATGAGCTCAGCGAACAGGTAAGCAACTTTGATCCCTCTGAACGAGAGACTAATAGCAACAAGAACATGTTTCAGAGAAAAGACAACTGTCTCAGTCCAATGGACGAAGGGATTAAAAACGACGAGGTGAAATAAACATTTAGTAATAGACAAAAACGTATCGTATTTGTGACGTTTTAAACTTGTAATTGTTTTTATTTTGCACAGACAAAGGAAATCGCTCGTCTGCGTGGGATAATGCAAAACTGCGCCATGTGTCGTAATGACGACATAGGTATGACCAAACCTTTTGGGGTAGATTGATTTCTAAAGACTTCGGGTGGTGTTATTGTTAAACGAAATATACGTGAAGAGCAAAATAATTAATGTGATGCGATCAAGCTGAATGAGTTGTTTGACGACCCTGGGGTCATTTTGTTTGTTTTAAAGATTTGAAAAGAGCACATGTCTCAGCATTACTGCTGTGAAAACCGCATGCCGGTACCATCTTTAGTTTAAAAATTATGGAACTCAGAACACCTAAGAGATGTGATGAAGTAATGTGATGAAGTGGCCCTATTTTAGCCTGAATCTCCAAATGAAAGTTCACGACAAACGACTCATTTAGCTTTATCGCATCACAAATGATCCTATGCCTAATTAATGTTTCTAATTCTCACTAGCTTGTCAGTGAATGAACCTTTCTGTTTTGGGGAAATTACAGGTCCTCCCCAGAAAATTGAGAGTTGCGGGACTGGCCCCTGCTTCCCTACCGTGCGATGCACCGATACCCCCACCGGCTACACCTGCGGATCATGCCCCAACGGCTTCCAAGGGAACGGAACGCACTGTACGGACATAAACGAGGTTAGGATAATACAGATATATTGTCAAGTCCATCACAAGTCAGATCGGATAGTCAATCACAATTGGGATCATGCCAGGGAGATCAAACAATGAAGAGTGCTTTTGTCACAATTTATTAGACTTCCGCTGAGACTGGGTAAATTGTGACTGACTTGTGGGGACTTAAAGGAAATGCACAACATTTGAAGACATCCCCTCCCAAAAAAAATAGTGTCGAAATATCATGAAATGTCATACTTAATTGTTGTGCTGTCATTATCGAGAAAAGAGGAATTAACATCATTAGCATCGCCATGGTTAGGACTAACTCTCTAAATTCCAAAGAGTGAAAATTCACTCCATTCGAGTGAAGATTCACTTCCTACAGTCGGAAACTAGGGACTATAGACGTTTTAGAGTGAAATTTCTTCAATCGTAAAGATCGAGGTTTCACTCGAGCTTCGACTGAAATGGTTCATTTTTCAGACTATGTCAATTGAAAATGAGAGTGATTTTCACTCTTAATACGTCTAATCCCTAATTTCACTCTTTGGAATTTAGAGAGAAACCATCGCGCTCTCAACGGAACTTTGCTACGAGAAAAATGAAGATGCATTTTTCCAGTTTTCTCCAAAAGTTTGATATAATTTTCTGAGCTGAAATTTCGACAGGTTATTATTTTTTTTTAGAGGCTGCTTCAGATTTATTGTATTGTTGTTCCTTGAATTGCTCCCAAACACATTTCATTTGCAAACGGTGTTCATTAAATAGTACTCTCAGCTATACTCTGTCAAAATAATATATTCTTGTGGCAAACAAAAGACAATGTAGAAAAAACTACTTTGGGGTAAACCGTCAAGTAGATGAACGGGATTTTCACTTTGATCCAAATTAAAAACTGAATTTCCTTCACAAATGGTGAAGCTGTGGCATGGTTTAAAACTTATTTATATTTATTCCCACGTCTTATTTGGATTATTTGTTGTTATACTTTGTGGTTTGAAAAAAAAAAAAACATTCCCAGTAATTGTGTGATCTGTTTGAAGAAAACGTGGACTTTAATAAACATTTTTAGTATTTGGTATTACACCCATCTAACGCAGTCAAATGAAACTTTAATATATTTACCCTAAAATGTTTACCCCTAAACAAATAAATAAATGAAATATCCGTGCTTTCATATTGAACGAGATGTGACGCGAATAATCCTTGATAATTGCCTTTCCTCGAAGAAGTGCGAAATTTTGAGAAATGTTTCCTTGGGAAATATACAAAATAATAATATAAATACAAATTGACAGTATCCTGACATTTTGTTACTGCCTTTTACAGTGTGTGCTGGCCAGTCCCTGCTCACCGGTGGCCCAGTGCGTCAACCTCGTTCCCGGGTTTCGATGCACACCGTGCCCGACTGGTTTCACCGGAGTAGGAGTTGAAGGAGTCGGCCTAGAGGCTGCTAGGCGAACCAGACAGGTACAATTAAAGGACAAACTATAAGCCACTGTAAACTTGATGCATATACGCACGCCCTCATCGATACAAATGTAAACCATACCTGTATTTGAAGGACACGCTATATTTGAAGGACTCTAAATTGAAATACCCATTGTGACTTATAGCCACTTATCAAGGTACAATGAGAACAACTCAATTCGCAATTCGATCCAGCCCAACCATCAACTTAATTCCACTCAAAATGCTATGTTTCAAGGAGCAATATTATAGAAAAACATGTATTTGTGGTATATAAAAAAGAAAGAAGTAAAGTCTGTAACGAGCCAATGTTGCCCATCAGGCCGGCGTTTATCCCCAATTTATGTAGCATGAAACGACTGAGAATATTTCTACCCCCCCCCCCCGGATGTGATGCTACTCCATCGCAGGTTACTCCCCCAGCTAATGCCAGTACCCATTTATACTCCTGGGTGAAGAGGGGCATGTGGGGGTAAAGTGGCTTGCCCAAGGACATAGCTGGATTCGAACCCCAGATCCTCTGATCATGAGTCACGAACCCTAACCACTAGGCCACACCTGTATAAAGTTGCAGGCAATTTAGATTACAACAATGATTTTCGGTACTCCTGCCATTTTCGCTGGTCCAAGAGGGCCCGCCTAGTATTCTCTGTGTAACTATCTCACTGACTGACTGACTGGCTCACTGTCACTTGTGAGTTGGGCAGTGCTATCGTATAGGAATACCCCGTAACGCCAATGAATAGCCTAAATCCACTCATCCAGCCCATTGTGTACGTGGACCAAAATACATGACAGACTTCCGATGAATAACCATCTGGAATTGATTGAATAGAATCCTGTGCTCTCTGGGTCCAGCTTTATTAAGCTTAACTTTTCTTATTCACGGTAGGCCTGTTGTAATGTCTGTATAGACTAAATGAACTTTTACGCAAGGGCGGGGGCAAGGGGGCCCCAGAATACAGAAAGAACAAAAATGGGGGGGGGGGGGAGAAAGAGAAGAAGTCATATTGCTGTTAATTTGATGCACATAAATTAACAATATGGGTGTACAAGCATTACATTCACTGTGTGGACTTCCGAACAAAAGATGTCCTCATAAACCAGGTAGAGGTGACGTTGTGTGGACTTGCCCACGTCCACACAGTGTTTCCCCCCTCTTGAAAACAGGGTTAGAGACATTTTGGGGTTAGGTTTATCAGTGAAGCAAAATGAAGAGCAACACTATATGGAATCATAGAAAAACAATTTGGGTTGAAAGAGCTTTCACAGTGTGAGTAAAATGAGTTTTTTTTTCACAGGTTTTTCATTACTACACGTAAACAAAGCAATGTCCGCACTACGTATGTAACGTAAACACGTGTGTCTGTGGTGTCCGTGGGGTAGGAGTGAGCAGATGTCCCCCGCCCACCCTCGACAAATTGATGAATTGCGAATTGTACTAGAGAAAGTACAGAAAATATTGTGCTTTAGTACTCCTCTAGAAAAAAATCCTGGCGACGCCCATGCTTTTACGTGTTATTTTCTGTATTACTCCTAGTTTTGCCGAGATATCAATGAATGCAACATCAATAACGGTCAGTGTGTCGCCAATTCCCGATGCATTAACACTCGTGTAAGTATGCACGCATATTTATTTATTTATTTTTTAATCCACCACGATCGTTGTTTTTAACATTTTGAACCAAAAATACATTTCGATTATGGGAACTTTATACGTACATTTTCAAAATTTTAATTTTTTAAAATGATTTTGTGATATGCTTTCATTTCTTCCATGATTAGGGATCGTATTTCTGTGGTGAGTGTTTGAATGGTTTCCGTGGCAACCAGACGGTGGGATGCGCGAGGAAACGACTGTGCCCCGATGGCACGACCTTCTCGTGTCACGATCGCGCGGAATGCAAGATACAACGAAATGGCCAGAAATATTGCGAGGTAGGTAAACATAATGATATTATTGAGAGGACTATATACTTCAACGAATGTACTTTCCTTGCTAATTACGAGTTTCACTAGCAATACAACAGTATATGCATCATTACATAAATAGTATGCCTGTAATTATATGCACGTCTGAATGAGACATCGATCGCAAAAGTCGACACTCGTTTAGTAATGGAGTAATACCTTCACAAATGTTGAATGACATTTTTTGCGGCCCGGCTATTTCAGATTGTTATACCTCTGTCTTGAATACTGTATTTTCACTGGCCTACAACGATCACGTGTTAAGTTTATAAAAACTCATGGCACACTCCCTGTGGGATATCACGTACGTGATATCCCAAAGGGAGTTTGTACGTGCGGTACGTACGGTTTGAAACGCTTCTATCGTTGGTAGCCACGCTATTTTCACCATGTTTTCACACATCAGTGGGAGCAGTGAACTAGCAGACGATCAGCTGTTTCGAGCATGCGACATGCATGTGAGTTGGCGTTCGATTGAAATGTTTGTTGTGTTTACTGCTGTTTTCGTGTTTTTTACATCAAAATCCAAAGAATCCAAAACAGAGATATAACAAAACAATTTTTGAATATTGGTTGCGTCGAAGGCGTAAAAGCAACTTGGGGAAGAAATAGCGACAAAGCTTGTTTTTCCGTCAAAATGAAACATACAAATATGAAAAAAAAACATGGTTTTTTTTAGGTGAAGAGAATCGGACGGCAACTTGAACACTATGCTTTACTACCCACGGAGCTATTTACTGCAGCTTAATTGTTCTCATGCATTGATATAATTTTAATTTTATAAATACATTACATTCATCTGGGTAGGATGTTCTACTGTCTCAAATTGTCATAAAAACAAAACAAAATCGTGCAGTAACATAACAATGTGGATTAAGCGTTGGTCAAAATATCCGCGTTTTGAAAGTTGTCAGTCAGCGACTTCAGAATACTAATTCGTATTACAGTCGGTCAAGATTGTGTAAAATCTCCTTTCATTGAATACTGTTTTTCTCTCCTTGCACTTTTCGATACCATCTGAACGACAGTGTGACGTAGGGTGGGCTGGCAATGGATACATCTGCGGACTCGACACAGATCTGGACGGATACCCTGACGTCAAACAACCTTGCATGGATAAACACTGCATGAAGGTATGCATTAAAATCTATCAAACATACTCAATTCGATTGGAGGTATATAATTATAGACCTTTCTAACGCGCATGGGCGTCGCGAGGGGGAAACAAGGGGGGGGGGGCGCTTTCCCCCTCCCTGGAAAAGCAAAAAAAAAAGGGAAGAAAAAAGGAAGACAAAAAAGAAAGAAAAATAGAGGCGCGAAGTCATAGTGGTGTAAATTTAAGGAGGGGGGAGGGGGCAAAATGTCCGTGCCCCCTCTAAAACTGATATGTTGAGAAATACAAGATTTTTTGGGGGAAAAATATGTGTTGCCCCCCTCTAGAAAAATCCTGGCGACGCCCATGCGTTAGCCCACACGAGGGTTGCTAAACTATAGAAGGCCCAACACTGCAAAAATTAATGATTACACAAATATTATGTTGAAAATACAAAATAATCAACAAACGCAACAAAATGCTTCCTAAACATGCCTTTCTCTTATGTAATCGGGCGTTATGAGGACTTTTTTGACCAATATGGTGCCAACCACGGCTTCAATTTATGCGCTTGCGGCAGCCCATACAAAATGGCGCTTACAACCAATAGAAATGTCATACATCTTATGGTTTCAGACCTGTAGATCGACTCCAATAGTGCTCAGTGATAATTACGCTACTTTAAAAAAAAAACAATTGAAACACTCACAACTCTCTAAGGTGTTTGAGACACCCATCATGTTAAAACTGTTTTCCTAATCTTTTATTTTTCGTTCAATGTTTGTTCAATTATCCAATGGATTTTTGAAGAAAATTCCATCCAAAGTAGTCCTGTGGCCAATTTTGAAAAAAATGATGCCTGCGCTCCAGTGCAAAATAGAGCGATTTGGGGCCTAATTTTATGCGAATTTCACAGTAATACGAGCTCACAATATTTGTGCACGGCCTCCACCCATCTTGGTGGGTTTTTTATTTTATTTTTTTAATTTTTTTTACAAACCTTCATGTTCATGGCCCACAAAATGCTCTAATAACTACTGTAAACCTTTACCTTATTGCTATCTTTACCATGCAAATTTCAAATCTTATTTAAACTCTCAACTCAGTTTGACAGTGCATGCTTCATATTAATGGCTGTTATGATCGTCTGTTTGCCACCAACAGGATAACTGCGTGCGGATCCCGAACAGCGGCCAAGAAGACGTAGATGGGGACAGTGTCGGCGATATATGTGACCCGGATGCTGACGGTGATGGCGTGCTCAACACACCCGTAAGTCCCAATGTCAAGTAGTTACTAGTCCTGGTCCAAGGGTTTGAATTTGCATTTACCTATGTGCAGCCAGTCCCGGGAAAAACGCGCTAAGTTTCCGCGGCGGTGGAGGTCTCTTCTGGCAACAAGATGAATCAAATCCAGTCTTGGCAATATTGGCAGCGCTACCCAAGGAAATTTCGAGCATGCCTCACGCGCGGTGAATTAAAACTAATAGATGCGCGTGAGGTATGCCAAAACGAAGGAAAACAAATCGGAAAGTTTTTTCTACATGCTACTGCAAAACGAGCAGAACAACCGCGTTAACAGTCCAGAATGATCAAATTTCAAAACTTGCGACGGCCATGATAAATTTCCTCTGGGGTATGCTATTTCACTATCACAGCTATTGCATCAATTTGTTGTTTGAAAACGCGTTTGAAGACAGACGAGTTTGAAATAACCTATCATTTAATTCGTCATCAACCACCGTAATGATTATAAAAGGCGCTGCATGGTGACCACTATTTTTAAGCTCTGGGAGGAGCTTCTACATGTCGCTTGGTGGTCGGTCGGTCTGTCTGTCTGTCTGTCTCCGGAAATTGACCAAAAATATTTGACCAAAATTGGGCAAATGCCATGCAGCGTCGTCAGTAAATGCACTCTAAAAATTGTTTGTAATAATTCGTTAATAGTTGTTTATTTATTTATTATTTATTTATTATTTACCCTGGGGAAACCTCTCAGTGGTACACTGTTTTCCAGAGGTGGCCAGCAATTACACAGAACAGTTCATTAAAAATTACAATTACAGAAAACACTAAAAATAGTAAACAGTAAAATGCGGCGTACATAAAAAATTATGTAAACGGAGGCCAGATATGTTCAGTAATGTTATAGTCACGTGGTATTTCTTGTTGTGGTTGGACGGAAGCCAGAAGGAGGAAAGAAAAATTTACCAAATAAATTGGTGTTCCATATGTGCCATCGGCGTCGCCTTTTTCTCCAGAGGTTATTGTGCACTGCATGGCACTTTTTTTCTTAACTAGCCTTCATTCTGATGGATTTTGGTTAACCCATAATGCGTTGCGGTGTCCCCGTTTCCTTTAATGTTGTGAAGGGCATTAGCGGCAACTAGCTCGCTTGATGGGACGTTGTGAGAGACGAACGAAGTTTTTTACTGTACCAAAAAAAACACGATGCATGAATTAAATTGTGGTTTGATCGACAGGACAACTGCCCGTTGGTCGGCAATCCGAAACAAGAAGAGGAAACGGACATGGATAAGATTGGCACTCAGTGCGACAACTGCCCGAGGGTGTTCAACCCCAAACAGATCGACACGGACAGGGATGGCACTGGCGACGCTTGCGACGACGACATCGACAATGACGGTGTGTATCCATGACAAGATACCATTATATTGAATGGTTAAATCACCAGTTACCTACGAATACTGGTCTTGTTGAACTCGAAACAATTCAACTTCTAATCTTGGATGTATGCAGGTCACCTTCCGAAATTTATGTCATGAAACTTGCTGTGTTTTACGTAAATCTATACTACGGATATAGGTTTAAATGAATTTCAAGGAAGCTGAACACAAAATGAGAAAAAAAACCTAAATGTTTTGTGTCATGAAACCAATTTCGTCGGGCGATGCAAATAAACGAAGCAACCGCTCCAAAGAAATTTTATGCTTTTTTTCAGCAATGTGCTCTTCTATAACAAAACATATAAAACGAAAAACGTTTTTATTTTTGCGAAAAAAATATCCTTTTTTCGTTTTGGACTTTCTCAACCCTCGCAACAGCTGTTTATTTGCGGTTGCCTTTTTGCCTCTAATTAACGCAAAAATAGATCCGCCTGTATCATTGTCAAACTCCACTAATTTGAAAGTTGTAAAAAACAATTATGCCATGACCAAACGTAGGCGGATATTTCGTTCGAATGAAAATCTATATTAATATAGTATTGTGAAGATTTAATGACAATGTATTCCGTTTAGGGTAATTTGCTTGGATGATTGTAGTAACATGTTTGATTGGATTGCGTACAGGTATACCTAATGCGGCAGATAACTGTGTGTTCAAGCAGAATCCCTATCAGTGGGATACCGACGATGATGGCTGGGGAGATGAATGCGACAATTGCAGATACATCTTCAATCCAAGCCAGGTAAGTACAGGGATGTGCAGTAAAATATATCAGTTTTGATGTCAAGTCTATCATAAGTCAATCACAGATCATATCACAAGTCCGTTTAAAGGGAAAATACAACATTTGCAAACATCAAAAAATAAAACTACCAAATCATTTTGAAATACCTTGCTGGACTGTTAGTGAATGACAGTGTAAAGCATCCTATAAAATCATGGCACCTGGTATACTGTCATTTTCAAGAAAAGTGGTATTTTTGTATCAATTTCCAACGCTGATCGGCCGATCAGCGTTGGAAAAAAACTGGTTTTTTTTCCAAATACTGGCCCCAGTTGACCATCGCACTTGTTTGCAATCGATTACACACCTATGAACGGGTACAAGCCAGCTAGACTGGTTCCCTGACCTTACAATTCCCCAATATATGTAAACTGCTCTGTTTCTTCTTAAATGGAGTCAGGGAACCAGACTACAGGAAAATGATTGTTTTTCTTGGTTTTTATAGCATTTTTCGAACCCAAAACTTCAAAAAAGTCAGTGTAACTATATTTGCTATATATTTCCAACCCCCCAATTCCATCCATTTCTGAAAATTACAGCCAAAGCAAATGATGTATATTCCATTTAAATACAAGTCATCATCAATCACAAGTACATCATAAGTCAATCATAATCAATTACAAGTTAACCACATGTCAACCATAAGTCAATCACAGGTCAATCAAAACACAAGGAAATCACAAAGAATCACAAGGATATCACAAGGAAATCACAAGCTGATTACAAATAATCTCACAAGTCAACAACATGTCAACCGAAAGTCAATCACAAATCCACCACAAGTCATTTTACAAATCAAATCACAAGTCAGTCCAAGTCAATCATAAATATATCACAAGTCAATCAATCACAAATCAAAACAAACCATATCACGAGCCATTCACAAAGCCAATCACAGAAAAATCATAAGCCGATCACAAGTCATATCACAAATCAATCACAAGTCAACCAAATGTCAACCAAATGTCAACCACAAGCCAATCACAAGTCCACCACAAGTCATTTCCGTATCAAATCACAAGTCAATCACAATTCGGTCACAAGTCATATTATGCGTTGTTTTTGTGGCCCCTACACTTACACTTACACTTACACTTATACAGTGTCGTCTTTTGTGTTTATTTTGTTTTATTTTGTATTTCGTATCTTTCATACATTTTTGTTTAGTTTTTGTTTTTCATAATTCATACTGTGTTTGTTCATTGTGTATTGTTTTGGTCGAATAAATAATAATAATAATAAGTCAATCACAAGTCAATCAAAATTCGGTCACAAGTCAATCACAAGTCAATCGCAAGTCTGTAATAAGATGACCGTAATCAAGGAATGAATTTGTGACTGTTCATTATAAGAGCTTGTGAGTTGACTTGGGACAATGACTAATGATTGTGTTTCTTAGAGTTTTGCTTCAAACAGTAATACACGGTTAATTGGCATTTCCGAATTTAAACCAAATTCAATTTGTAGTTTTGTTTTTACCTCAGAGTGATAAGGACGATGATTTACTGGGAGATGAGTGCGACACGAACATCGACACGTAAGAATTTATTTGCTATTTTAATTCATTCTGGTAACGCAATCAAGGCTTTCCCATAATGTGCTATAAAATAGCTTGGAGTCCCGAAGAAAAGAGCCATGTTTAGATATTGTTGGGGAAAAACAAATGGATTCAGACATTAGTTTGTTTTAAAAAGCAAGCTGAAAGAGTAAGAGTAAACAAAAAGTATAATTTTGTCTGAAGATGTCACTGGCTTATTTACGCTCATACAATGTACATGTATCAGGAGGTCATTATGATCACCAAATCTTACAACGGAACTATTTGTGCCGACATTTGAAACTTGAGAATAATTTGTTCACAGTGATAACGATGGAATTCAGGATAACGAGGATAATTGCCCATACGTGGCCAACAACCCGCAACTCGACTCGGATCAAGATGGACTCGGTAAATATCCCATTGACTGCATTTCTTACAATAACCCTGTATCCTGTACAGGGTGAATAAGAAAAAAAACCGAAACCAAATGTCCGGTCTATTGTGTTAGTGAAGTCCTGCATGTAGCACTCTTAACATCTAGGATATGAAAGCCCAACTCATAAGCTTTCTTTTAGTACAAGAATCATTCAAATCACTCATGTACTTTTTAAGTTACAGAGTTTTATTAAAAACAACCACCGTTTTAAAGTTCTGTCCACGGATCACAAAAAAAGTGTGCGTTCTTTCAGCAAAACGAAAACAATTCACACACATCCCTATGTGATTTGCTTTCGTTTTGCTGAAAGAACACTTACCTTTTTGTGATCCGTGGAACAGACCTTTACAACGGTGGATGTGTTTAAAATTCCGTAACTTTCCAAGTACATATGAGTGATTTGAATGATTCCTGTACTAAAACAGAGCTTACGAATTGGGCTTTCATATCCTAGATTTTGAAAGTGCTTCATGCGGAACTTCACCAAAACAGTGGTCCCTACATTTGGGTTTCTTTTTCTCGACTCACCTTGTACAGTCCTCAACTAAATGAGTGTGTGTTGACGACCTATATTCCCCAACAAGCTTCCAGCTTCAACAAGCTATTCCCCAACAAATTCACACGAGACGTTTCTGATGCCTGTACTGGCAAGAACCAACGGTATACCTTTAGAATACATGCACTGTTTTTGGTGACACATTGTGATAGGGAACTAAAAAACCGGAAACATGATATCAGTTCCTCATCTTTGTGGTTTTTTTTTCTCCCAAAGGGGATGAGTGTGATGACGACGATGACAACGACCGTGTTCCCGATGACACAGATAATTGTCGTCTGGTGTTCAACCCGGATCAAGCAGATTCTAATGGTGGGTGACCAGACCAAATTGCATCCAATACAAAATATTCATATTCATCATTTTTAGCGAATTATGAAAAACCTGTTACAAGCAAAAAGACACTATAATTGTCTGATCAGTCACAGGCAGTCAAACATTTCTTCCACTTGCTCTGCCACACATTTATATATAGACTATAAAGGATAAATAAAATAAAACAGTCAGATCACACTCGTAGACACTGTGACCAGTCAAGTTCCACCAACAGACAAATGAGGTGACTTGTAGGTACAGCTGGGCTATCAATCACCTCCAGTCAACGCATGGCTATATCAAATCAACACTGAAAAATGGCCTGCCGGGTTAATTTTACCAAAGAGAGGGTGAAAACTGGAACTACCTAAACTTGGGTTGTTCTATAACCAATTGTTTGGGTTATAATTTATGTTAAATTCAACCAAAAGTTGTAGTCATACCAGACCAAATTAAATTTGGTCTTGAATGACGACAAGTTTTGGTTGAATTGAGCAGAAATTCTAAACCAAACAATTGGTTAAAGAACAACCCAAGTTTGGGTAATTCCAGTTTTCACCCTTTCTTTGGTAAAATTAACCCAGGCAATTTTTCAGTGAACAAGGGAATTCGTACCTGTGTTAAAACAGTCAGTTGATGGCAAAGCTGAATTTGCCAGCAAAAGAGGGAGGGTTTTAGCCTCAATGACATTTTCACTGGTCCGGTATAGCTGTTTCTTAAAAAACAGGATTATATGAAACTACCTCAGTATACCAACCCAATTTGCTCATCTTTTTTGGTAAAAGTAAATATTGTCTTACACGCTTATTTGGCCTATTATTGCACTTTAGTGGTATCGTATATTTAAATCAATTCCTATAATACAATGTATTCTTAAGTTTTTTTTCCACCATTTTGTATCCTGTCATATACTTGTATGTGTCAGTATTGCAATAAGAAGGCGAAACCAATATTGGAAAAATTGAAATTCAATAAAACATGTGACATTTCAGGGGACGGTTTTGGGGACGAGTGCGACGACGACTTTGACATTGATGGCGTGCCTGATAACGAGGACTCGTGTCCAGAGGACGCCGCCATTCAGCGTACGGACTTCAGGTCCTTCCAAACCATCGTGCTCGATCCCGAAGGCGACTCGCAAGTCGATCCCAAGTGGGTTGTGTTTGATGAGGTGAGAAGTCTATATTAAAGGCCTTACCCCGTTTCAGGCATCCCTTCCAGGTTTGAGTTCTAGAGCTGCGCGCCGAAGCAAATTTATATTTCGAAGATTAGGAACAGTTATGAACGACGATTAGGAACGAGTCGAAAGTTTGAAATTAAGTAAAATATTTATCATTTCGACGCAGTTAAGGGATAGCTGTTACCAGGGCCCAATTTCAAGGTGCTGCTTAACAGTCAGCAGAAAAATTGTGCTTAGCATAGCAGAAACATTTGCTGACCTTAAGAACTATTTCTTGGCGTGGATGGGCTAACGGTCGAATAGCGAGAGATTTATATTGTTATATCACCAAGTTTAAGTTAAGCACTTTTTTCCTCTGAAGTATGCGTGCTTTTTGCTGTGCTTATGCTTATGGTCTCCATGAAATAGACGGAGCCTCTGTTGGCATAAAGTGTGCTTAGCAGCGGCTAACACGGAGTTAAGCCACAGTGGTCTTTTAAATCATTATTTTAAGCCAAATATTATATGAACAATCGGTATAAGCCTAACTTTGCCAATATGTAGGGCCTATTGTACAGGCATCAGTTTTCAGGAAAATAATCGTGGAAACTTGAAACATATTTTCAGAACCTCAGATTGAGTTAGAGTTGGCACGGGACTCATTCAATTCCGAGTCCTCTGGCCAATCTGTAGCCTATGGAGCCGAATCCTTTACAAAGTCGTGGTTTGCTAAACAGACTCCCAATGTAAACGCCATTGTTTTGTTTTTTCAGGGTAAACAAATCATGCAGACCATTAACAGTGACCCGGGCCTGGCGGTCTCGTACCAAGCCTTCGACGGAGTGGACTTCGAAGGAACCTTTTTCGTCAACACGAACACCGACGACGATTACGCTGGCTTCGTCTTTGGCTACCAGGACTCGGCCAGCTTCTACACGCTGATGTGGAAGCAAGGCCTGCAGACGTACTGGGAGGCCACGCCCTTCAGAGCCGTAGCCGAACCCGGCTTTCAACTCAAGGTTTGCTATATGCCTATTTCAGTAGATAAGTCGTGATAAGATTTGAAACTCTGCATGGCCTGGCGGTAGTGTATAACCTAGTGAGAGGTTGCGGTAACACCATGTGCAGAATCTCTTTTGAGAATCGTCTTCGTCCACTGAAGACGATCAGAGCATCCGGAAGACGATCAGAGCATCCTGAAGACGATCAGAAAATCCTAAACACGATCAGAACACCCTGAATACGATCAGAGCATCCTAAAGACGATCAGAACATCCGATCGGAATGTCGAGTTTTACAACCAACCGGTTATTTTCAGACTCACACATCTTCTCAAAAGAGATTCTGCGCATGGTGATTCCACAAACTCTCACTGTTAATTAAAAATTGTTTTGGGGTCATGTATTTTCAAATTTCCTCGTCAATATCCTACACAATATGTTGGTTTTTTTTTTATATTTCTTTTGGGTAATGAAACAAGGATTCCTCAAAAGTGCCCTAAGCACTGTAGGCCTATAGCTCGAACGTCTGAGAAACATGTAGAGAGAAGATAATGAGAAGAGGTTTCAGAGGTGGGAGGAAAAACCCAGAAAGATATGGTAAAGCCCATGGAATCAAGCAGGGACTGAAAACCTAATCCACATGTGGCCAGGGCAGGAATCGAACCTGGTTCCCAGCGGTGGAAGGCGAGGAAAGCAACCACTGCGCCAACTTGACTATGAAAACCGTGGGACATTTGAATTGTGATATACTGATGTATTTTAGGTGAAATGACATTACTATTTGAAAATAAGAGCATTCATATACGTAGGACGCCATGCCAAAAAAAACAAATTTCCACAAAATGCTTTAATTTCGTATGGGGAGAGATGATTTCAATTCTCATATTTACAAAGAAAACATTACAATCATGCAGGAAAATTAGAGAAAACTTAATTTATTTTAAAGTTAATACATACTAGTTGTTGAGGACCCTTATTTGGATTTGACTAAAACTAAATAAACTTAGTTTCTAACATTTTACAATATCTTATTATTTACAGGTGGTCAAGTCTGAGACCGGTCCTGGCGAGATGATGCGAAATGCACTGTGGCATACAGGGAACACGACCAACCAGGTACGTTAGGAGATGGATGTAAAATACCTAATATGTTTGTCTTGACTCGTGGATTTGTTAACCTATGGTCGTCTCATTTTCTATTCATGCCTAGAATGATTATAATAACCCTATAATTATTATGCAGGTAAAACTCCTGTGGCAGGATCCCCTGAAAGACGGCTGGAAAGACAACCAGGCGTATCGCTGGTTTGTGCAGCACAGACCCGCGATTGGCCTTATAAGGTATGATTGTAGTCTTCTATTCAGACCGTTTTGCCGTTAAGCCACTGCACGATCCAAACGACATCTGAATATGAAGAATCGACGCTTCTTATTTTGGGAATTTGGGATAAACGCAGCATTTAGGAATGTAAACGCATTGGAAAAAAGGTAATCTGCAGCCCGTTTTACTTTTCATGCTGGAAACAAAAAAATATAGAAGAAGTTCGCACTACAAGTGGAGGGTATGAAATAGTGCACAACATAAAGTAAATTATTTGTACAGATATTTGCCATTCATTTCATTGGTATACAAAGTTTGGTTGTGTGGCCATCAGGAGCGTCGCTATGCCACTTTGAAGTGGCGCATTGGTTTGATTTAGGCATGAGCTGTTCGAATACAAAAGTAAGTTTAATCGTATCAATTTAAATACAGTCTGTTTGTACCTTCGCAACCACGTTAATATAATAAATAAGAACAATCACACGTCTGACTGCCCTGCAGGATGGTAACATCTTCCCTATATACTTCCACCAAATAATCCTCTTGTTACTTTATTTTTTTGATTTTTTTTTTTTATAGGGTGCAACTTTATGAAGGCGACTTAATGGTAGCGGACTCGGGCTATCTGATTGATACCACGCTGCGTGGGGGGCGACTTGGTCTGTTCTGCTTCTCACAAGAAAGCATCATATGGGCTAGATTGTCATACAAATGCAACAGTAAGTACTGCAAATAAAACTCAATTACACAATTTAGTATTGAATAAAATCATATTTTGCTGTATATACATATTAGACAAGAGCTTGTCATGCTGACAACATGTACAGGGTGTTTGAAGTGGAAGGATTTAAAGATGAGACATGCTGTCTTTTATGAGTGTGACAAGACGTCATCTTTTCACTTATCGGGATGACAAATTAAAGCCTGTCACTTAAGACATTCTGTTGACTTTCTTCAGCGTGACAATTTTTTGTTTGTTTTCAGAGTACACCCAATGATACACCAATGAAGAATATCTTAAAAGAGCATGTTGTTCCACTCATTCATAATAATAATTACTATTATTCCCACAAATGTAGCATTAGGGAGACACGTTATCGTAATTTCTTCGACAATTGGGAGACACTGGTCATTAGGGAGACATTTTCATGTCTCCCTAATTCCACAGCCTCCCTTTAGAGGCAAAATGTTACAGTCGCAAGTGGGTTATATTTGTTGCTCGTGGTCTAATTAGTAAACATACCGAAATACGTGGAAAAAGGACAAGGGAATATTGGGTTAGGGCACATTTAAGTTTGAAAAATTTGTGCACAAGTCTATGGGAATGTCTCCCTATGGTCCCATTTTCGGTAATTATTATTATTTTTTATTTGTCATCGCAACAGAAAAACACAATACAAAACATGACGACTTGAACTAATCACTATTGTCCACAGGCATTCAGTCCCAAGACAGTAAAAAAAACGAACCCATTCATTAAAACAAACATTAAACACACGAACATTAAAAATAAACTAGGATATAAAAATACACAAAGATATAGAAAAAAAAACCATCAGTGTAAACTCTGACCCTCATCATTAGAGTTTGTTTCTTCCTGATGACGGTCAGAGCATATTGGCCGAAACGTCGGTTTCTTCACGTATGGTTCTTCTCGGACTCACCACTTACTTCCCTTTTTAGAGTTGATAACAACACACTGTGTAACCACAAACTTGACCCAAATTTTACTCGAAAGTCTCAAATAAAAAAAAGATGATTCTTCGATATTTAACATATTTGTATTGTCCCTTTGCAGAAGAGATCCCGGCAGAGTTTAGAGGGCGAGGCTTCAACGCACAAGGGGTCAACAGTGGATGAATCAGTCATGTGTATATAGCATATACAGGGAGAGGACTTTTGAAAACAAAATGGCGTCCCAATTATCGTTTTGACGTGGATTTTATGGCATGGCGCGTTGCATCCCGGATGTAGCCGTCAATGAAAGTCTTTCCACGTTTTTTTTTTAAACTGCCATAACAGCTGAGGCCTATTTAATTTTTTTGAACACTAACGGTTTGTTGTTTCTTTTCCATATTTATGTAAGATATCAATTTCGAGTCTTCAAGACAGTTGCCGATTTAATGAAAGATATGTACATTTGCAAGCTGCACTATAGTAGTTCTAGTTTCACCAGCATCCTAAAAATCTTTGTTTTGGGGTTCGAAATTACAATGTTGACGTCGCAGTGTTTTGACACCAAACAAATTCTGTTGGGTCGTTTGTTTGTTTCTAATTCCAAGTCATACTGTCAAGCCTTAAATGAATAGTTATAAACACACATACATTGTGTTAATTGACAAAAGACAAGAGCTTTCTTAGTTTCCGTGAACTTGCCGAAATAGGAATTTTGAAACGTTTCCTTGTTGAACGTTTTGTTTGGAAACTTGCTATTCTTGTCTTCTTGGTGGTTGAATTAAACATCTTCATGACCTTTGCTTTTGCGAGAAGTTCCACTATAAATTAACATACGAATTTCGAATCTCAAACAAAGACTTTGTTCCGCTAGTGCCTATAGCCATACCGTATGTACCTTAGTTAAAAAATAGCCATGGAATCGAGGTTATACATCCATGTCTCACGAAAAGAAAACTATGACTAAGACAAAGCTAAAACCAGTTTCATGTACAGCTTTGTCCCACAAAGAACATAACAGTCGAAAACCAATTAATATTGCATGTGATTTTTTTAATATTTTCCAATTACCTCTTAAAGTCAGATAACCAATCTACCACACAAATTTAATTTCATTCAAATCGATGCATTGGAACAAACGCTCTGCTTCATCGAACTCAAGGGTTGAAAATCGTCTTGGGTCGCTTTCCTTGAAAGTGAGAAAGCGCAGTTAGAGAAATACACATGGGTCAAAAGTGGTAGTGCAGCTTATCTGTTTATCACTTGGACAAAGTTTTTTTGGAAGACCAGGATGATGTTATGTAAAAAAAGTGGCCCAAGTGGTTTTTCAAGTCCCGTATGGTGATTGCTGTATGTTTTGAACAAAACATCCTGAAACCAACTAAAAAGCATTTGAAAGACAAATTATTCTACTCAGCAATACATGAGACATAATACCCCACTTTTCTGAAAACATGCCCGATTCGACTGTTAGGTTTTTTTGTGGGATGACCTTGTAACAATGAAATGAGTGTTCAGGTTTTCAATTCGTTACTGAGGCTTTACTTCTAAATTGGACACACTGTGCAAAACATACGGCATGTTAAAAGTTTGCGATAAACAGGTTTAGGCCTAATAGTTTTGTTTTTATTTTGTCAACAAAATTTAATGTTATAGGCCTGCAGTACCAGATCATTTTATTGTAACTGAATTAATTCAAGTACGTGAGGCGGTGGAAGATTTTTTGTGGATGCTGTCTGGTTTGTGCAATGATATAATTGAGTGAGTCAACCGCTTCACAAAATGATTAAAATTATGGTTATAAGTTAATTTTTGTTTTTGTAAAATAACGATACACTGCAAAAAACTGTACTGTTAATTTAACACCATTCGGTATCTATATATACACCAGTAAAATTTTACACCAAATGGTCCTATATAGATACCAATGGTGTAAATTTAACACTGTAGTTTTTGCAGTGTATGCATAGTTTTAAGTGGATAGCTGTACAAAACGCATAGTGTATAGAATATTTAATTTAACAAATATATACCTGTGTGTGCTGAAACTTTCTTTTCTTAATCAGTGACACAGAAACTGAATTGAGTGCCTTTTTATTATGAGATATTCATAGGATCTGACCAAAAGAAGTTATAGGTTAGTTGACCAAAGAGAATATATCTTTTTGTTAGCTGAATTACCCTTTATAGGTCACTTTTTCTGTACAGGCAAATGCAGTACAAACATTAACTTTGAAAAAAAGTATCAGCACAAACCTTTTACCCGGCCTCCGGGTTAGTTTTATGATTTGTTCAACCTCAACATGTTTATTATAAAAAGATAGACCTATTGTCCCAAAATATTATGAATTAAATTAATGACACTGCATTTACAAGTCGATATTTACCCGTTTCAGTTCATTAGCAAAGTCTTGGTTAACGGTTTTTAATTGTTAATATATTTGATTTCCTGTATTACACCTTTACTTGTTTTTTTTCTTTAAAATATTTGCCTGGTTACCGAACATTTTCAGCGTATACAATTTCTAGTGTAATTACTTCGCCGGTAATGTTCAGCTCCAACCATGTTTAGTTTGCAAACGAAGTTAACAACATGCTGACTACGATGTCTCTAAACAGCAGCAGCAAATACGGGGACAATAGTTCGACAGTCTGTTATGACCTTGCAAGTTAAATCACAGAAAGAAATCACCTGAATCGTAATTGATTTCCATATTTGATTTGATGTATGTGACTTATTTGATGTCATAATTATAATGATGAATTCTAACCTCAAATTTATATTAGGTTGTCTTGCCAGAGACACATCCATTTTCCAAATGACAGCTTCGTCGTCCGATTTTGTTGGCTTCATGGTACCCGGGGCCCAGAAACATTTTTGTGTGTAAAGTGTTAGTTTTTTGGCCTACAAAATTATGGAACCACTTCAACCAAAACAACCCCCCCCCCCAAAAAAAAAAACACCCCAAACAACCCATTGAATTCTCATTGATTTTCCACTATTTGAAGAAAGTAAAGCTAATGGAGCTGACTTCTTTTTTGACCAGGACATTAAATTAAACACCCTTAGCTGATGATGAAGCCATGGATTTAATAGAGAAGTATCTCCCACATATATTGAATCTTAAAGTTCAATTTGGCAATAAGAGGTTTCCCATTCCCAGTCATTATGTCTCCCATTTTACCATCTGGGATGAGCCCTGTTATTATTGGATAATATAAGTTTCTTATTTGTCCCCTCCCAAATGATAAACATAAACGTACTAGACTTTGTACTCGGCTGTATGAATTAAATAATACGTCAAACGTTTTCTCCGATTTTTGGACTCACTGTATTCATTGTAGATTAACCATCACCATCACCCCCTCTTTTTGTTCTTGTTTATCGCGGAAATTCCGAGGTTGCAAAAATTGCTTGAACATCTTGAGGTTATTTTGTGGCCGCTTTCCCCTCCGCGACGCCCTCAATTTGCCGATCGAATATCACACTAAAAACGACTTAGTCAAAATATTGACATGTTTTTCTAAGTTTAGTATTGACTATAGAAATTTAAACATTGAGTACTATGAGTGGAAAAAAAAAGATAGTTGGATTTAACTCCAATGGTAGGTAGCTAGGTATTTGCATAACTATTTTTTCCTGTTTCAATAATACTGACTGGAAAAAAAATGACTGATTTTCAGTTGCACCCAGTTGATCCTGAACATACTAGCCGTAGTCAAATTTAACTGGTTTCAGTCAAATCTAACAATTTAGAGTGTATTCTCATGCAATACAACGTAAAGAGTACTCAAAACATTCACAAAATTAATTGACAATAAAGAAAGGAAGATACCTTATTAGCCAAAATGAACTTAAATTTGTTCTACAATTTCCTGTAAATCTCACATTTACGGAATCATTAAGCGCAGTTATATGGAGTACACTAGGTTTCCCTTATACGAATAGCGCCACCTTGTGGCAACCCCCACCCCCACCCCGCCCACTTTTCACGGAGGAATAGTTCTCTTCCTTTTTCCCCATAAAAATGCACGTCATCCCCCTGATTGTTTTTATATTGATTACACTAATTAGTGAACGACAAGAACCCCTTCAAAAAGTCAAGGTGAGCGGGTTCACCACCAAGCCATCTTCAGTTTGGATGATTTAAAAAAGAAAGAAAGAAAACAAACAAGTGCGAGTGCACAATATATAGATCTGGCCGTCTTGCAGCGCTTAAAAATACGACGCCCAACAATGCGACGCCGATGGCACTCATGGAACACCATACTTAAGATTTATAGTTAAATGTTGCGATTCGTAACTATACGTTACTGCACATTATTTTGGCTCCTTTTCACTACCTTTTCATAAACATCTCTCCGAATTGTTACAAACAGTTTTGTTCAGTATTTAATTTGTTTTGTTTGCTTTATACAAACAAATAATAAGATGAAGGTTATTTATGATGGGAAACTAAAGGGATAATTTTGCTCAATTTTCGGGGACAGACAATAATATAAACTAGAGTTTTGCGTTTGTTGAGTTACAAACGCAGAGTGGTCGGGCGGACAGCCTTCTCATTATACACTGCCCAGCTAAGTTAGGAATATATGTAGAAAAAAGGATCACGAAATTAAATCCCTTTAAGTACAATCAATGTTTCAAAAAGGTATCTTTAACGGTGTGATAAACTTCAGTAAACATTCTATGTGCACAAAAAGTTATTTCTAGTTTGATGACGTCATCAGTCAAAAATGGTTAGTGAATACTGATAAAGTTCGGAGAGGATAATTTGTCATTTTAAAATTAAATAACGTATGAAAATATGGGAAATATAATTGTTTGTATTAATATCACATAACTTCCGGTTTGACGACGTATTTATAACACCTAACTTCCGGTTTGATGACGTCACAGCTTTAGAGATCCAAAGGTGAACATTGTAATGGATATCATTATTTGGACTTCGAAGATATGACAGGGATCAAATGATAGAAATAAATTTAAACTTTGATCATTTTCGAATTCTCCTTAAAGTAACTTCCGGTCTGGTGACGTCATGAATTTGAAACCTTGTCACCTTATCTGTGATTAATCAGAGAATGTCAAGGGGCGATTTGGTAAAATTTGGACAGATAGTTTTACAATTACAGAAGGGAAACTATATTTTATGTGCCGATAGGGGGCGCCCTTTCGGATGATGACGTCATCACACTGTTTTTTGCGTCTTGCATTCCTCACTATACACTTTCATAATATATATGTCTGTAGTGAAATGCTTCCGCTTTGGAGTTATATTCAGTTTTTATTGCACTTCCGGTAACACCGGAAGTAAAGGTCAAGCGGTTTTGCGTTCGGGAACATGAAATGTTTCTCACGGCATAGTCTACAACCTCACGAAAAAACGAACACGATACTCTATTTAGTTCAAAAGATATAACGCAAACTATTTTGTCAAAGTTTGCCCATAAATCGCTTGTAATTTGATACCTGATTACGTCATGATGACGTAACAAAATTTATAACATCTTCGTAACATGGTACAAGTTCACACAAGGTTTTGCTGCTTTGTTTTGATGTCAGGCTAACGTCTTCATTTTGAATTCACCTAACTTTGACCTTCCGGTAGACCCGGAAGTAAAGGTCAAGCGAGTTCACGTACACTACAAAAACTGTTAAGCGATTAATGGTCTATCTGATTACAGAATACAAACATCATTGATTGTTTAGTTCAAGAGTTATAGGTGAAAGTAATTGGTCACTTTTTCAGATAAAATCACTTGTAATTTGACACCCGATGACGTAATCATGACGTCATAGTAATATGCACCACTTCGGATGAGGGTCGATATATATTGAAAGTTACAAGTTCATACCATATACCGTTTAAGAGAAAACCCGCGGAGAAGTATTGTCCGGAAAAAAAAAGAAAGAAAGAAAGAAAGAAAGAAAGAAAGAAAGATTAATCGTAACAGATCCAAAGAGTGGTCGGGTTGTGCCCGACCACTCAATAAGCATGCGCATCGATTGAAACAAAATCGGTGTTCTGAAAACCGTGAGTAAGAGCGCTGTGTATGACGACAGCACTGCGTTTGGTCGTGGGCGTCGCCAGGAGTTTATCTAGAGGGGGGCAAAACATATTTTTTTGCCCAAAAATTCCTGTATTTCTCAACACATTCTCGATTTATCAGTTTTAGAGGGGGGCAGGGACATTTTGCCCCCCCCCCCCCACCCATTAAATTTACACCACTATGACTTCGCGCCTCTTTCTCTTTTCTAAAGTTTTTTCTCTTTTTTTTCTTTCTTCTTCTTCCTCTTTTTTTTTGCTTTTCGGAGAGGGGGGGGGGGCAAATGCCCCCCTTGCCCCCCCCCTCGCAACGCCCACAAGGGCGGATCCAGAACACAATTTTTTTGGGGGGGGGGCCAACAAAAATGTTGGTCCCCCCAAAAGTGGGTAAAAAAAATTACGGCGTGGGGTTCGGGGCCCGCTTAAGGGCCCCGAAATTTTTTTGGATTCTAGATGCTCTGTGGTGCGATCTGAGGCAATTTCTGACCCCAGGGGGGGGGGGGGGGGGCATGGCCCCCTTTGGTCCCCCCCCCCCCTGGATCCGCCCTTGGACGCCCATGCGTTTGGTCAATTTGTCAGTTGTTTTTGGTCAATTATTTTTGGTCAACCTAGCTAAGGGGCTGATTTTGGTCAATTTTCGGGGACAGACAGACAGACATCGGACACCCAGACCGACCAACCGACCACCAAGTAGTGTCCTGCCAGAGCTAATTAAAATGCGAGGTAATTGTTTTACTTTTTAGCAAATATGTTTCAAGTTAAAACCCCTCCATCATTTTGGCGACGGGGAGCTTATAAGAAAGTGCAAGGGGCAGTTTACCAGTCGATAGCTGTCGCGTGATCGTATCCTAGCCACAAGTAAAAATAACCGTAGGTCAAGGTCAAAATAACCGTAGGTGAAGTGCGTGCGCGCGATTCATAATTTTTTTTTTGGGTCACGTGCTTTCAAGAGAAAGACGTCACTAGTGAGGCGCGCGCTGTATGGCCATTACGCGCGTGCACAACGACAACAACAAAGTACGCCTAGTCGACGTAGACTCGTGTAAACCACACGTGTCTCGACACTTTTGTCGCAATCTGCCGGTAAGTCCACCTTTTGTATCGGCAACAATACATGTATACGATATGTATATTAATAACAGTTGTATTTTGACCTTGCAGTTGAGAATTATTCTGTGCTTTCTGAGTGACATTGGATTAATGCCAACTTGGCCATAATTGCATGACTCACATGTCACATGCTCCTGTTCAATCGACATCGCGTGTTGTCCACACCCCCAACACTCCCCCAGAAAACAGAGAAATGCGCCGCTTTTGAAAACCTCCCCACACAAACCATATTGCGAAATGCGTATTTGAATAAATGAGCCAATAAATGAGTCGTGCAGACAAACTGCGGTGCCGCGATGTGGAGAAGTTTGGAGTGAATTTGTGAAGATAGAAATTACAAATTCTATTCTAACATTTAGTAACAACATGTCGAAACTTAGCCCGACTGCGTCTGGCCGTACAGTACTATCGCAAGCTCTGTAGTACGGCCAGACGCTGAATGCTTCCAAAAAGACTGAATTTTTTTGGCCGCTGATGTAGCGATTTTGCTACATCTTTCGATCGCGATTATCTTTTCATCCAGGACACAAATTTCCAAAGTTAAGGTTCGTAGTCGTAGAGCAACTCATACCTTTTCGAAAAAAACGTTCTTTGGTCTCAATATTTTCATCCATCTGGCCACATGACGAATTTCAGTCATCAGATTCCACAAATATCGTCCCCATGCGATCCCCCATGCGATTTCAAAATGGCGGCCGCGCTGTAATGTATGCAATATGCAGGCGCGGCCGCGCAAACTCATGAATATGCATTAAAAGTCTGTGACGTATGACCTCGTGTTTTTGGACGTACGGCCCTGCATGCAGCACGCACGTCCAAAAACACGAGGTCATACGTCACAGACTGTTTATGCATATTCATGATTTGCGCGGGCGCGCCTGCATAATGCATACATTACAGCGCGGCCGCCATTTTGAAATCGCATGGGGGATCGCATGGGGGACGATATTTGTGGAATCTGATGACTGAAATTCGTCTTGTGGCCAGATGGATGAAAATATTGAGACCAAAGAACGTTTTTTCGAAAAGGTATGAGTTGCTCTACGACTACGAACCTTAACTTTGGAAATTTGTGTCCTGGATGAAAAGATAATCGCGATCGAAAGATGTAGCAAAATCGCTACATCAGCGGCCAAAAAAATACAGTCTTTTTGGAAGCATTCAGCGTCTGGCCGTACTACAGAGCTTGCGATAGTACTGTACGGCCAGACGCAGTCGGACTAGTCGAAACTGCATAGACCTGAACACAGTAGGCCTAAACAGATTTGACGAATACAATTATCCCCGCCGTGGCCGTGACCCTTGTGATGTGCATCACAATCACACGTGTATCATGTGGATGCGATATCATTATGGGGATTCCTGAACCAGGAAATATATTCTAACTCAATTAGGAAATGTTTCCCAGTACAGTCTCTCTCACTCTCAGTTCTAAGTTCATGTTTAGTTTTGCAATTTTGGCAGTGTATGTGTGTTTATAGCTCCATGATGTGACCGACACTGAACAGCACAGTGTGAGTGTTTTTGGGACTCATTAGAATTTTAACGTGACAAATGCTCGCCATGTTTGTCTGGTTTATCACTTCTTTCATGGCAATCTAGCCCCATAAATGTGGCCTATTTACTGGACTGCCTCCGTAAACATAGGCCACACATCCACATGTACAAAAATCGTGTCGACGGAGCCAAATTTTGATTTTCACATTTAGGCTTAGTTTGTAGGGTTTTTTTGCTTTAGAAGCATACTCACCCTCTTTATAGGCTAATCAGAAAGTGCTGCCTTCTTCAGATGTATATTTTTCGTGAAATTTCCAGATTCATTTTTACACGTTTGCGTATCAAAATTTCAACATGAAATTTCACAAAAATTAGACATCTGAAAAAGGCAGCACTTTCTGATTAGCCTGTAAAGAGGGTGAGTATGCTTCTAAAGCAAAAAAAACCTACAAACTAAGCCTAAATGTGAAAATCAAAATTTGGCTCCGTCGACACGATTTTTGTACATGTGGATGTGTGGCCTATGTTTACGGAGGCAGTCCAGTAAATAGGCCACATTTATGGGGCTAATGGCAATCATGCTTTGCCTTTGTCATCGTGACTTTGTATTCACAAGATGGGAATCAGACCTGCGCCATCTTGCCGACGGGGCCGGGGCAGTTGTAACGCTGCGGCTGCGCTATGGTGCATATGCATTGTCAATGGAAAACTTTGGTGTTTCCAAGTCATCATGCCGCCAATCCAAAATGCGCGCCTGCGTCTACGTCCAGTTTAGCAACGTGTGTTCTTTTTGCCCCGTGAACAACATGGCGCATATTACCGTGAAAGTTTATTTTGGGACACCAAAAATAAAATTTCTAAAATAACGGCAAGGCTGGGACTTAGACTCTAACGTTAGTGGTGTGCTCACCGACACTGCTATCCACTGTAGGCCTTTTCACACTAAACAAATTTCGGGGTTGACACAGGGTTGATGCAGGGTTGAAAACTTGCGACGTTTCACACTTGAACATTTTTAACCCTGCGCCACTCCTGCGTCAACCTAGTCCGAAAATTTGGGACTCTCAATACTGTGTATGAGAGTCCCAAAACTTAAGGTATTGAAAACATGCAAAACAAGAGAATAGACTGGCACCTAAAACAACCAGTCCAACACAGCTTCAGTACTGCATCAATCAGCCATGCCAAAAGAATTTAAGAAACATGTGGCATGAAGCGGGAACTAGTCTCAATGTACCACACATTTGTCCATAGTCAAGCCACCAGACTATTGACACTGAATGAAGAGGTCAGTCTTTTTAAATAGTTGGACCATGGTTGGACATGTACCAGTCTAGTATTTAGCCCCATTATGAAATCACTTTACTTCCCTCTCATGTGCAAAATATTGAAGAAAAGTCTCCTTTAAAAATTGAATTGAGTCTGCAAACTTGGTTGGTGAAATACTGGAATTTTGGGAGAAATTTGCTGGCTAAACCGTGAGAAAAGTGGGCCTGATTTAGTTTTGCACGTTTCAGAGCACTCCAGAGCCCTGTCTGAACTCAACCCTGCTCCAGACCAGGGTTGAGATTTCCAACCTGGGTTGAAACTCTCCCCAGTGTTCAAAACAGTAGTATACCGCGTGAAATAAGCTCGGTTTAAATTTGCAAAAATCAAGTGTGAAACAAGTTGAACACAGGGTTGAAAAATCACTGGGTTCACCCAGGGTTGACTCTAAGCTGTTATTGGTCAATTTTGATGCCATGTTTTTACAATACAACAATGGGCATAGAGACCTAATAAAACCCTGACATTGGCTTTCAAAACTGTTCGCAAAATGCTGCGCAAATACGAGAACGCTCATCGTGGGCGTGAAGTAAATGCACAAGACGGCAGTTGCATTACGCGTGTTATTTAAAATATTATGTGATGATCATTCGAAGCCACTGGACATTCGCGCATCGCATAACATAGGCTTAAATGTTGCTAACAATAATGTTGTTGTTAACTTGATCACAACGTAAAGCATAGGCCTAATAGATGTCGTGTCAAGGTCTTATTGGAAGTCCATGAAAACAGGTTATCGAAGACCTGATATAGAAGGCTAGATAGACATACATGTATGTATAGATATTCTGAATGGTCAGAATGCGGAGATCAAGAGGCAGTCTAGTTGCATAATTAATTGCCGAATCTGCTCACATACATGTAATAAAGACCCTTGCTGTGCATTGGGATGCCTGTCCCACCATGGAACAAGTATGTTTGTAAATTTGCTAGTCAAGCCTAACCGTAAACACGATATCTTGCCCCTTCCTAACTTTTATCATGTTTGCATCAAGGATAATAATCTGTTGTTTTTTTATCGGGACCACTGTTCATGTTTGTCAGTGATTTATATTGTACTGTGTCATTTATTTCAGAAGGCGAGTCCCATTCAGCATGGCAAGCACTGAGGTTAGCGGGGAGTTGCCGTATGATCCCAACGACACGGTGAATTCATCTGTGGTGTCTGGAGATGTAGCATTGCCTGATGATGGCGAGGTACTCTCCCCAGACAACAGGTGAGACGTGTTATCCAGATGTATACATGTAGTTATCCCACATATTTGGCCTCGTGGTGTGTGGGACACAGACACACTACATTTTCATAAGCATGAGCCCGATAATTAATTTATCTTCAAGCAAACTTGACGCACAGTAAAATTGGGACTAGCACGCTTTATGGGAACCTTTTAGCGGTTCAACATGCAGCTGGAATGTCGCTCGCATCTTGGAATAGCACAATACACATGGTGCAATATGGACCGTGCGATACAGTACATGTTTGTATCACACTGTTGTTGCCATGGATTGTCCAATCAGAATGGAGGATACAAGTTTGCTTGAAGACAATCATTCTGAACCTGTCGCTCCCTGTACCGCTCCAAATTGCCAGAGTACTGTATGGTTTGTATAGATTTATCAGGGAATAAATACAATGTAATACAATGTAGTGCAGGAGCTAAGGGGTTAAGGCAGGCCTGAGGTTGACCTGCGATTTGCTTTCGCCGCGATTGAACCATTGGCATCCAGCACAAAAGTCAAGCTTGGTCCACAAAACTGAGAAATTGTGTGATTATCGTGAATCATGCAGCATCTCGACACAGAGTAATTGCAACCATGCTCACGTCACCCACGACATGACGACGTGTCACAATTAAATTAGATGATCTGGATGCGCGCACAATGTAATTTTACACAGATCGACTGCGATTGATTCCCGCCTGTCAGGAACATGTTCTGTTGCAGCACAGAAGTAGAAGTTTGTTTACTCTTGCAACTTTATTTTTTTTAGCACCGACTGATGCCGATCGTCTTTGTATCACCACAGTTACACTCAGGTCGCGAAAAATTGATCCAGCTTGATCCTGAAAGGTCACTGAGCCGCTGACTGTTCTATGTCATCGCAAGGTCGATCTATCTAAGGCTAGCTTGATATGCATTTGCAGTACAAACATCTAGGCATACACATGTAAACCCTAGAAATTATTCAAAACATGATAAGGGGACTACCAGCATTCATGTCTTTACATTAAAAACAATTGACGGAACTTTTCTTGCAATCCTTGGGTGGCAAGGGGCAGCAGTGCTTATAAATTTACTGTGCATCAGGGAAGGGCAACTTCAATATTTAATTTAAGGTTTGTAATCTTTTAGTAAATCACTTCAAATTCTATTTTTGAAGTGTTCTAGCCAATGGTGATGTGTCTACCGTTGGGGAGGAAGCAGCGGAAGCATCTGAAACAGAGCAGGGTGACGAAGCAGCAACTAACGACGTAGCTGATGTGGAAGACGTCCAACCACTTCTGCCAAAAACAATCTACAAAGAAGGTACATACCGGTAGTGTACAAAGTTACATGTACACTGTTCTTATTTGTGGAGTGCTGTGGCCAAGAACTTTGGATGCAAAATCTGTAGGTAGTTCTGCAGGTTGTGGGTTCGATTCCAGTCCGTGGGGTTGTGGAGTGTGTCCTTGGGCAAGACACTTTATCTCTTGCTTCTCCCCACCAAGGAGTAAACTGGGTACTTGTACGTTTGTTTTTGGTGTAAATCCAGAATTCTCAACTGTTCCACTTCCCTTTTCCTTTTTTATACTAACTTTTTTCAACAGCTCTCGTTGGTTTTGTACACGTTTTCCAACCAAAGAGTCCTCAATTTGGTTCCCGTTCTTGATTCGTTGATGATGTTGCACGTGTATGTCTTCAATTTACACCATAAACATGATAAACAAACGCACAAGTTCATGTACTGTACATACCTCTGATGGAAGAGATAGTAATTGTGTTTGAAGTAGCCGTTTCTGTGTGACAATTGAGTGCATGGTACTTGTACTGCATTGTTGACACTAACTTTATGTTCAATGTGTACACATTTTTCAACATGCATTGTAATTTGTGTAATTGATTATTTCGTTTGACAAAGTGACCTCTTAGGAGGTGATAGAGCCTTGACTGTCAATATTGACCATTCAGACAATGGAGTTGTGGTTAAACTCTGGCCTGCATGTACCACTGCATTGGCTCAGAAAATATAGTCATGCTCTCTGTACCTATAGGAATGACAAATCATTTCGGTACACTTCATGCATTAATTTGGTAATACACAAGATTAGGAGAATGTATGCACAGGTTCTACCCAAGCAAATATGATGGTGTGTGACCTGATGAAGAGAAACAATTCACATCTCGGGGTTCAAATTTAGCAATTAGCCCGCTAGCCAAATGCTAGTCAAAACAGCAGCGGGTTAGTCAAACTATTCCTTAAGTAGCCCTGCCGGCAAGTCAAAAATTGGGCTACGGCAAAGATGGAAAACTAGGAAGAAATAAATCAGAAAGCATCATCATCGTTGGGCAACCGCAGCCGAGGTGGATGCAACCAAACTCTTCCAGACTCTCTTGTCCGCCATGGCCGTGGTGCTGTCATCAACGTGCTGGCTCACATCATTGCATACAGTGTCAACGTAGTTGAGGCAAGGCAATCTCCAGCAGAAAGCAACCTTCAGAAAGCAACCTGTATTAATTTGTTTCTAATGTTATTCACTGTTAAGGCTTAAATGATTGGATCTGTTTATTAAAAACACTAAGATGATTGCCTAAGGATACACGTTTTACATGTATGCACATCGTTGTGTATGAGACGCTATATAAAAGTATAACATGTGGGCTAGTTAAAATACCAGCGGGCTAATTAAGACATTCAGTACCCCGGCTGGTCAGTGAAAAAAAAGTAAAGGTCGAACCCTGCATCTGGTCAAGACAATTAGTCAGATTTACAAGGTAGTATACAAATAAAACATGGTTTGAGGGTGGACAGTCGATATTGGCTCCCCGAGGTATTGGAAGTTCGCCTCAGGAACTAGTTTGTCAACTTCCAATACCGAGGGGAGCTAATATCGACTGTCCACCCGAAATAAACCATGTTATATTTGTTTTACTATACCTCACATATTCAGTTGCTGATTTTTTTTCTATATATATATGCACCTAAAACAAAATTCGGGAAAACTTGTACAGCTCACCAAAAGAATATTGTTGCTCAACTTCAATTACTAGTTCGGTTCGTTTGCAATATAATACAGTTACTACAGTTGTAAATACAGTTGTTGCAATGTGTACAACTTTCTTTAGTACAGGAGACATCTTTACACGGTCTATACATTTTCTCCAGTACAGCATCATTGAGCTCTGGAAATTAACATTTACGCGAACCGCGCAACCATGCATCACTCCCTCCTAGGCGATGTTCGCGCATGCGTACTGCACCCGTGCAACAGTTCCTCGATTGCTCTGTAAAGCGCATGCGTAGTAGACTGTCGCACGGGTAACCCATGCGACAGTCTACTACGCATGCGTATTTACAATGTGCGTGAATCCTCGCGCGCGCGTTTGGTAAACAGCAAGAATAACATCTGGCACGTGATGTTGAATTGACCAGTGAGAGTTCGGCTCTCGATCATGAATATGTATGAGGTATAGTAATATCACACATGTCTCTTTCATGCCATCCTAAATTTTCTTAACTTCCTCTTATTGACATCAATTTTCAGGGGGGGGGGGCCCCTGAATGTTCTCTTCTGTACATGTATGATAAGGCTTGACAGTTATTTGGCCCTTATATTTATATACTCCATCAGTCAGTCAGTGAGTTAGTCAATCAAGTCAGTCAGTCAATCAGGGGAGCCAGTCAATGGCTTAGGCTACCCATTCAGATCCAGCAAAACCTGCACCAAATGATTGAGTTGGAGTTGCCATATGTGCCTCATTTCCCATGACCAGGTCACGGTTTGTTTTCCCATGCAATGTACATAGTTGGGTGGCCTTGGGACACCTGGAAGCCAATTGTCAAAGTTCATAATGGCCTGAGCTCTCACCCATGTACATGTATTCAGGATGCTCCCCTTTCTGAAGTTTCTCTGTGCTTTTATTGACTGAATTGTGGCCTATTGTTGTATTTGGGGCGGGCGTTGGTTCGCTGCACCTATAGCGTGGGCTATATATGCAGCCCAGTTGTGTACCTATAGTTTTCATTACAGCCACACTGACCATTGGATGACTTAGGTGAAGCGAACAAAGTTGTAATTACCAGGCTACTACTGGGAGAAATACATGAAGTGTGTTTAAAGTTTGACTTGAACAGTTTGTTGCAATTTGTTGCCCCAAAAAGTCTGAGATAACATTTGTAAGTGTTTGATATCATTGTCCAAAAGTTCAACCTGAACAACAATCAGTGCTTTGAATACAGTTTCAGGAAAGTTTGGTTCTGGAAAAGATCAGTTATATTTGCATGTTTTAAACACTGGCATCATGACCAAAAAACACGGTCGGAAGGGAAAACGAAATGATCGTAACGGTGGAGCAGTGGCGCCGGATGAATTTAGCCAGACTTCGTATACGGGTAAGTACGGTACAGTGTGCAAGTATGTATTGGTACATTGTAAATACTTGTTAATACAATGTATATACATTTGTAATTACCAGCTTCATTACACATGTGTGGGTGTACATGTAAATGCACAAACATGCATGCACATGTGCATGTACCAGTACAGGGTGTGTCAAAAAGGAAGTGACGTACCAGTACATGTAGAATTGAGAAAAACTATTTTTAAAAACATGTGGCTCGCTCCACTTAATAAAAATAACACAGGGATAAAGTACTCGTTATTGACTGGTACATGTACATGTATGAAATTGTACATTATTGTAATTTGCTTTCTACCGGTACATGTACATAAATGTATTTATGTATCGGTACCAGTATGTTCCTAAGTTGTGTTTATTTTAATGAAAAGATCACAAAATTCATTAGTCCACAAATGATCATTTTACCATTCAAATACAATGTAACAAGGGCGTTTTCCTGCCTTCACAAGTGAAGGGATATTTGCACAGAAAACAAACAGAAATCACCATTGTTATTTCAGAATAAATTTCTTTATAATTCAGTAACAAAATCTGACTGTAAAAACAATGTTTCAGTTTTGACAAATGTTATCGAAATCTCATTTATATCTGAATGCCTGTGTGTATAATCTCTGGTTCTCACTCAGCTCAATCATGTCGATGGCTTCAAATGGCATTCCACGGACATGGATGTAGATTCTTTTAGTAAAATATGCATAAATTCTCATAGCATCCATGGATCAATTTCAGTTTCAAACGAGTGATAGACCATGCTGGTTTACAATGTATATGCTTTGTTGGTGCGTCAAATTTAATTCAATTTCGGGGGAAAATCATTAAGGCCCCCCAAAAATGTCTCTGGTTTCTGGTATGGAGCTTGCCCCAAAAGTGGTGCGGCGACGCGGCTTGTTTTTAACCTGATTTTTTTGGCCTCAAATGTCGGCTGATGACTGCAAATGGTGCCCGACTAACTTAGTGCAAATACCGGTATATGGGAGTCCAGAGAGGCCACATAAAGCTTATTCTCGATCATAACCCCATCTAAAAACACGTTAAAATTGTGCAGCAGCAGGATTCCAGTCAAACCAGTGAGTTTGGCGGTTTTGAGACATCATCTTTCATTGAAAAAAACACTTTTTCATATCGCCGACGTGCATGGCTACGGCGTCGCGTGCGCATACCAGAAACCGGAGACTTTTTTTGGGGGGGCCTAATCCAGATCACGATCTTTTTGACTCACCAGTGGTACATGCCCTGCGCAATTTTGGTCCCTTTCCTGTTTTGATACATGTACATCTGCTACTAATAATGACTGGGCATTTGTATTTTACGCTGTACTTTAACAAGGACACATGGCTATATTTTTTGGGGGAATTCAAAAATATATTGCACTCGCTATAATGGACTTATCTTTGACTTGTGCAATATGCATAGCATGTGCAATACATTCTTGTACCCCCCCCCCCCCAAAGCCATCCAATATTAAGGAAATAAATGTGTGTTCGGGAGGTATTATAACACTCTGTTTAAGACCGATTTGGGTCTGGATGGGTGATAATTACCAGATGCAAAGCCGAGGGTGATGCACCCATCCTGACTCCAACCGGTCTTAAACAGAGTGTTAGTACCGACCGAACACATATTTATTCCCATGCATACGTTTTCAGTCAAAAAAAAAAATCTTTTCCGTCCAAAAATCAAAATAAGTCAAAACTAGACATTGCTATATCCATTTTGTTCAACAATTTTACTTCATATTGTATCAAACACCCCTCTGACTACAATATGGAATTTCCCTCTACAATTCCTTACCTTAAGTTATAAGGACATTGACGTGCACGTCGCACGTATTGCGCGATGTCGTGCAAAACGCAGCTGGGCGGGTGATTGCGCATGCCTACATGTACGTGAGGAATGTGAAATTCAACCAATGAAACGTTAAAAGGCACCGGATTTCATAGGAGTCCAAATTTCATGTGACACTGGAAAAGTTTTTAAGACCAGCTAGCCATGTCTTTATCATCCATTTGAGACCGGCCACGTGACGGGCTCTCAACCAATAGGAACGGGTAAACTGTCTTAGGTGTTTATGAATAATAATTATTCGTTGTCCAAGGTCGACGCTTAAACAAGTCCGCATGTATTTCACACAAGTGACAGTCCTGCAGTTGATTCATTGAGATAGGGACCGGTAAACTCAAATTATAAGCCAAGTTGAGGCTAAGTACTGCAAGTCTAATTCACAAGTGACAATTCATAAGATGGAATTTTGCGTCGGGGTGATGTAAATCAAATTAGGTTTTGCCCTTCACCGATGCATAAACACTCAGAGTGTTACCTCTCGAGTGAAAGTTGGGAAAAAATCACTCGGGTGGGACTCGAACCCACGACCTCCTGCTTTCTAGTGCAGACGTCTTACCACTCGACCACCGAGCTAACAAGCTAACAATTAGCTGGTTTGAATCTGATGTACATAGCAGCGGGTACCGCATTAACTATTCATAAGGTGGAATTTTGCGTCGGGGTGATGTAAATCAAATTACATGTAGGTTTTGCCCTTCACCGACGTATAAACACTGTATACTCAGAGTGTTACCTCCCGAGTGAAAGTTGGGAAAAAATCATCGGGTGGGACTCAAACCCACGACCTCCTGCTTTCTAGTGCAAACGTCTTACCACTCGACCACCGAGCTAACGGGATCGGTTAGCTGGTTAGAATCTGATGTACATAGCAGCGGGTACCGCATTAACTATTCATAAGATGGAATTTTGAGTCGGGGTGATGTAAATCAAATTAGGTTTTGTATACTCGGTGTGTTACCTCCCGAAACCTAATTTGAATCACAAGTGACAGTCAGTCAGTTAACTTTTCCTTGTTTTTTTGGCAGGTGAGCTGGCACCGGCCGACAATGTGTGGACGTGTAAAGCCGATGGCGCCATCAAAACACGCGTCAGTGACAAGAACAAAGACATACCCGTGGAGACCATTCATGTCGCGTTGATGAGGGCTGTCAAGAACTATCCAAATTGCACTGCGCTGGCGATCAAACGAAACGGGGAATGGGTGAAGTGGTCCTACTCTGAGTACTACAGGGATGTACGAAGTGTTGCCAAGTCGTTTCTTAAGGTAGGCAATAATCACTCATTTTAGCAAATGCATGTGTTCTGACCTGCCGAGATCCTACACAATCTATGAGGAGGTTTTGTAGGAATTTGTAGGATTTAGGAAGGTAGAGCTCTGGCATTATCACTTTACATGGGTTTGATGCCCCTTGAAACATGGTAGACCTGTACAGAGAGTGCCATTGGATTCCTTCACAGTGGACGATTTTGTAGGATTCAGGAAGGTAAAGATCAGCCACTATTACTTGACAATGTACATGTGTCTGATGTCCCTTGAAAGTACCAGGAGAGTGGATGATTTTGGAGGGATCCTGTATGAGTTTAAAAAAAGTATCAAAAATTATATGAAACGTAGGTACAATCTTCAATGGGACGAACTTTTGGATATACCTGTCTATCTTAAAGCTATAGTCCATCATTTGTAATTAGTGCATTTTGTTCGTTTGAAGCAACAAAAGTGTTCAAAATCTAATGAAGGATACTGAACAACTTACTTGATGAAGTTTCAGCTCAGCTTCAGCTTCATATTCCTAGACAGCATTCTAGGATCTCAATTTCAAATCAAAAGTTGCTTAATCATGTTTCGAATTGTTTTGAATTGCAGCTTTACGCGATGTTGCACACTGATCCAACGAATTATAGCAACCGCGCGCACCTGTGCGTCGTTCCAATGCTTGCGCGCGCTGCGCCGAATAACAAAACGAACAACTAATTTTAATTTTCCTACGGTGCTTCTTTTGGATAGCTGCAAATGATGGACTCTGGCTTTAAAATCTCCCTGCATGTAATTTCTTAAAGGTAAAGAACAACATTTGCAAATATTCAGAAACAAAATTGCCAAAATATTAAGAAATATCCGAAGAGAAAATTGTTGGTTAGGATCAAGCATCCTGTGAAATCATTGCGCACTTTGCTGTCATTTTCAAGAAAAGAGGAATGACCATGGTTTCCTCTTGATGGTTAGGACGGAACCATCATCGACTTTGTTTCAAATAGAAAAATTGACCGATTTTAGTTTCATAGCTTGCAATCGGTACATGTATATATCCGTGAATGAGAATTATTTGTGACAAACTGGGATCATACCAGAAGATGGTGCAAGAAAAAAACTGCAGTAGAATACCGGTATGTTTATGATATGCAGTGTTAGGATTTGAAACGGGGAATAGCCATAGCTGCGATGGTCCATAGCACTAGCAGGGTACATTTAGCTGGTACATGTATGTACATTGCCTGATAGCAGAAGGTCACCTAATCACAACCTCTTATTATCAGTGAATTACTGATTGTTATCTGTGGCCTTTGAGTGCCTATTAGATCACATTCTGAATAGCATGAAAGGTATTGGAAGTAATCTGGTCGCGACCTGAGATTACGGGGCTCTGTACGATGCTGCACAATACACTACAACTACTGGGTAGGCATGGCAGGGTGTACACGTACATGTAAGCAGCTATTGTTTGACTTTTTTGTTTTGCTATTTAAAACTACAAGCATGTTTAGGCCAAAAAAAATAATACTCGGGTCTCTGGTCAGCGCGCGTGTCGATTTTAATCATGCGCGTCAACCTTTTTTTTTCCCTCAAATTAACACGGAAGCTACAACAGCGCCCTCTATTGCCACACCTCAAATTTTTATACCAAGGAGCACCAAGGAATGGGGAAAATGCACCAAGGCAAATGATAAGGGGCATCAAGGCAAATTATGGAGGACACCAATGTATAATGAGGACACAAAAAAGCAAAATAGTACCCACCTTGTCTGTACAATACAAGCTTGAAAAAAAAAAAAGCCACCAAAAAAAAAAAAAACGCGTCGCCGCATCAATTCCGGAACTACGGTCTGACCAGAGACCGACTATTTTTTTTTTTGCCTTACCTGTACAATGTCCATATCAGTGTTACATTTGCTGAAGGTGATACACATGTACCACATTGACACATGAAAAAGGATTGAAATATTTCTGAACCCATAAGCACAAGATCTTGTATAAGTTTGCAATCACAGGTGTAACAAGCAGGGCGTTTCTGGGCGGTACAGGGACTAATTGCATGGGTTTAATAAGTGGGCAATTCTAGCATTACATACCGTAAAATAATGTCCGTGACAGAGCTTTTAGAGAGCTCAGTGAACATGGTGAATAAACCTGAAAATGTAGTTTTCAAAAGTTTTAGAGCCATCATCTGGTAATACTCAGTCAAGGAGATTATAGACAAGTAGTTTTGGATCATTTCTTCGAATAGGCTAATACCTAACCCTCCTCACTCCTCCAAAATCCTCCTGGCCGTTTTGGAGGATTCTAGAGGATTGAGGATGAATGGTGATTGAATCACATGAGGATTTTGGAGGATTGAGGATGAATAGTGTTTGGATGATTTTGGAGGATTGAGGATGAATGCATTTTGAGGCAGGACTGTCTGATGATTTTGAAGATTTTGAAGGATTTGGGCGTTGGTTATCCTTCATTTAAACACGAGTGCAACATTTTGGGATGAGGAGGATTTTGGAGGATTGACGATGAATGCATTTTGAGGCAGGACTGTCTGACAATTTTGAAGAATTTAGGTGCTATTCCAAAATTTTGGAGGATTTTGGAGGATTGAGGATGGTTCTTAGCAAAAAGGGCCTAGGGGGTTAGGGTTTATTACAATGTAGATATCATGGTTAACTGGCTCTGTCACGGACATTACACTTCCTCACATAACACTGGAACTGCTTTAATAGATATGTTCACTGAAATTACGAAGTGATACTTGCTTCGTGTATATTTTCACTAGAACCAGTTGGAGCGTTTGTTTTGTACACAGTTCAAATATTCACTTTTATCATGTTTATTATAGTGTGAAAGGGTGAATAAGCATACGTTAGCAGTGACCATTGTATGGCAGAGTTATTTCTTTTAATGGTACTGGTATTTGTACGGAAAAAGTACACGAAAAGCCAACTTTATTTTGTTAGAGGAACCAATCAATTGAATTGAATTGCATAAGAAATCAAATTAATAAACGTAAGTTTCCAGAGACCTTCAAAATGTACTGGTACTTTTGTTAAAAGGATTTTGCAGAATTTAAAAAGCATTGCCGTTAGTACTGGTACTTACAGGCAGGATCATTTCCTATAATAGAACACCACTCAAAATCCAGAGAAGAATTTTCAAAGTGTATACTGAACCCGTTCAGGTTTCAGCTCAGTGAATATTACATCTACATGTACAAGGTTTTAAGAGAACAATTAAAAACTATGCACAATCTTTTGATCTCGAAACAGATTTTGTCAAATCAGTCAATTCGGGCGATTCACAATGCTTTGCGCCACCAAAGTTTGCCACGGAGAGGTCATTTTTCCCAGTGCATTGTGGGAGATGGTCGACAAATTCGCAGCGCGGGACATTTGAAAGTGTTAGTTTTTTTCAGTCAGTGGTTTCGTAAGCGTATGATTCGAGGATCTGTTTGCCCATTTCTTTTCTTGTTATCAATATGGTGTTTTTTGTAAGGCGGCAGAACGCTATACCCCAATCTATGACATATTAGCTCAAGTTGGCTACTGACACTCATTCAAATGGGCCATGTTTTGTCGACCGTAAACTTGAAAAATGGACTCTCCGTGGCAAACTCTTGGTGGCGCACTGCATTGTGAATTGCCCGAATTAACTGAATGTTGGGAATCAGCTGCATTTCTTTTCTTCTAAATGACAGCAAGCCAGAAGGAATAATTTTCACAGGGGTGTTTTTCTACCAGTATGATCTGTAATCCACATAACATACCGGTAAGGGCAAAAAAAAAATTTTGCTTCTGATCACATACAAGGCATTTGAAACTAGGGTAGGTGCATTGTACTGTAGGTATGGAATTTCTTTTTTTGGTGGGCAATTTACGATCACATGGAAGTGTCTGCATGTACGGTAGTCAAGAGTAAAAGGTAGTAATTGATGATTTTCAGGGTTTTTTCCTCATGTCCCCCCCCCCCCCAAAAGAAATTTAGGGTAAGGGCTGTCAAATAGGGTAGGTACGGTAGGGTAACCGGAAGCAGAACCATTATTGTTTTTTGGCCTAAGCTTTTTAAATATTTTTGGGAGGTTACTTTTGGGATAAATGCAAACGATTCTAGAAGCCTTTAATGCCAAGTGAAATTAAAAATCATTTCGAATGTGCCATTTGTGGAGGATTTTGGAGGATTCAGGATTCTAGTTGAAAGAAATACCGACGGAATTAAGTTGATTATTTCACGCTTGATATTTCTTCTTCACCAGCTTGGTTTGGAGCGTTACCATGGAGTTGGTATCATTGGCTTCAATTCGCCAGAGTGGTACATCAGTGACATTGGTGCAATGTTTGCAGGGTGAGTGAGTGATATTTACTCAAAACTTGACTGTGGAAAAAAGGAGTTATTGAAGTTGGCATGTTTAACTTTTTACCATGAAAGGAACCCAAGGTGGCTTGAAGTTTACTCTGCAAACAACCTCAGCCTCAAAGCTGGCCCAGATTTTAGAACAATTCCCAAATTTCTCACTAACAAGTGCAAATTATTATTAATTTTTTTTTTTGGGGGGGGGGAATTTAAGACTACCAATGAACGGGCATCAATTGATGTGTAAATTAAAGGTACATGTAGTGTCCATCATTTGCAATTTGTGCATTATGTTCATTTGAAGCAATAAGAGTGTTCAAAATCTAAACGTGCTAAGCTATGTGGACTAGCTGTGTCGTGATACTGGGCTAACCTCCGCAGCCGAGATCAGGACGGCCATGGGAGACTGTGATGTGTGGCGTGCTTTTGTTGCAGTCCGACGATAGTCGACTTGATGATGATGATGAATCTAAAGAAGGGTGCTTATAAACCTGATGAAGTTTCAGCTCAGTGAATGCTGTATATTCCGCGAAAACAATATTCTAGGGATCTCGATTTCAAATCAAAAGTTGCTGAGTCATGTTTTGAACCGGGCCTGATTTCAGTGTCCGAGACACGTTCTCACTGAGCCGATTGCAGCTATGCGATGCCGCGCACTGAACTGACGAATTATAGCAACCGTGCGTGCATGTGCGTCATGTCAACGCTTGCACGTGCTTCGCTGAATTAAAAACGAACTGCAAAATATTTAACTTTACCAGAAAGAAGAATAATTTCAAAGGGAGTTTAGTCTCATTTCAGTCTTTAAACCAAGTATGCTTTTCAACAATAATTACGTCGGTTACTTTTTGGATAGCTGCAAATGATGGACTGTACCTTTAAAGTCTTTTTGACAAAAAGATATTTCACATTTTATTGAGTTCGTGTTGTTTGAAATGATGGATGTTTTGCCCCGGCACCTATTGCGCTGTCTACATATGTATGTAATACTACATGTACACTAGATTACTGATAAAATGAAGTATCCGGCATAATCATCAATACTTTAGAATGTTGTTGATTCTTTGACTTTTTTTTTGTACGACTTCTCGGAAATATCCCATGACACGTAATATAAACGAGTAAATCATTGATTAATATTTTTAATCAATGATGTGTCAATGGATGAGTTTTTGAGGACATACAGAATTACAGGTCCGGTACCTGTATGTCCTTAAAAACTCATTCATTGACACATGATTAAAAAAATTAATCAATGAATTGCACCACGGAGTCAGATGTACATTTTGGACAATTCAACAGTGTGCATGAAAAATGTAAAAATCAAAAAAGTGGATTTTTAATCTGATAAAAATAATCAGTTAGCAGTTACTACAATGATTTAAAAAAGAAATTGTTCACGAATCCAACTTTTTTACTGTAGTAGACATCAACTCGAAAACAACATGTTGTCAACGTACTCAGACAAATTTTTTGTTGGGGTGTACAGTATCAATTATTTTTTCAATTAAAAAGTAACAGCGGAGCTAATTATTTTTTCAGTTAAAAAGCAACAGCTGAGGATTGAACATTGTTAGAAATAAACTCTATTTCAATAAAATCCAGATTTAAATGTACATGTGTAATAAGCTGAACAAAAATGACGTTTCATTTTTGGCCTTTGGATTTTTTTTTTTAATTGAGATTTGTAATACTGTGGAATTGCCCATGTGTACAGGTGTAAATGTGTGCATAACAATATGCACACTTTAATTGTTTGGTTGATTACAATTTATGTTGGCGGAATGCAAGTGAAACCAAATTATCTTAATTTTTGGTAAGTTTATGTAGCTTGATATCAGTTTATTTGCCGTAGCAGAAAGACATAATTTTTCCCCACTTGTTTACAGTGGCTTCGGTACCGGCATCTACACGACCAATTCTGCTGAGGCATGCCAGTATGTAGCTGACAACTGCCAAGCTAACATCATAGTGGTTGAGAACAAGACCCATCTCAACAAGATCTTGAAAGTCTGGGACAAGCTCCCCCACCTCAAGGCTGTGGTGCAGTACACCGGCCAACTGGAAGAGAAAACTGACAATGTTTACACCGTAAGTGCTTTAAAACATGTATCCCAGTGTGTAAATTTGTATGGGTTATTATAAATCGTTGTGTGTCAAGGAAAAGGACGTAAGCAGTGAAGAAATCACATCAGGTTGAAATTTGGGCTCATGAAAGTCGTTAACATTTAAAATCATATACATGTAGTGCATTTTATTTCAAAATACATGTATTTATTTTGAAGTTATTTACATTTTTGACCATTTACCGGGAACTCCATCTGTCTTAAACGTGAACTCGCCCTGCATTAAACGTGCGTTTAAGCGGCATGTTAAATCCTAACGCCCTTTTGCCGGGAACAAACTTGGCTTTTCGTACCCATTTAAGTGGGACGTTAGGGCGCTTGGAACATTTTTTGTCAAATGAAAGATATTTCCTAAGCTCTATCGATTACCCCAAATCCTGAATTTGACCTTTTGACCCTTTCGATCCAGGCACCCGACAAAATGTTTATTGAGTTTTGATTGATATGGATGCAAAGTTCAAATGAAGGCTCTATTCTTGGCAATTGAATTCAGTGTTTAGACTTGTGATGTACATACCAATGTATTGTATGTACCTCTGTTTTCCCAAAGCAAAAATTCTACAGGTTAGTTTTCAGGCACCCTTCTTCCCGTTTTGAGTAATTTTGTTGCTTCAAATGAAAAAAAAAACTCAATGCAACAATGCCATTCAAATGATCACAATTATGTTTTTTTTATTAAATAGAGGAAATTATTTATTGTGTGCATGCATGTTGCTAAATATAGTAACATGGATGAATGTGAATGTGGACGAATGGTCCTGCCTTGCTGTACGGAACACTTTTTCATCCAGCACAACATGGACACTGACAGCTGCTTGATGTCCCCGAAGCTAGATTTTTTTTTTTATAGTTGGCCCCTTTCAGAGAATCAACATTCATTGCCGAAACAGGAACTTGAAATTGTTGAAAATTAATTGAGGAAAAAAGATCAAAACATAATTGATTTTGTCGTTTGAAAAGTGTTTAAACATGAATGGAAAATGTTTCCTTTTTGTAATGCATGACAAAAAAATTGTCTGCTTTGATTTGGTTTTTCTACGCTCAGGTATGATACTGTCAACTTCAATTTGTGCAAATTGTTCACCAGATGTACATGTACAAGATTTGATACAAATCAAGTACTGTTATTTCTAATAGTACATTTTACATACTTCATTGTGACAAGCATATACATGTAAGGCCAAGTTAAAACATAACCAGTTTCTCGTACCTGTCCTCTTGTCCACCCACCCCCTTTTTGTTTTTTTTAACCCTTACCCATTGGGTATTTCTGCTAGAAAGTATCCTGAAACCGCCAAAATCCATCAATTTTGCCATGCAAAAAAAATGTGGTGGCCAGTGAGTCCATCAGACTCCACCAGTTAGCATGGTTAACCGAGAGTAAATCTGTTGAGATCCTGAATCCATCGAAGTCTCCCAACTGCTCAATATCATGAATATGGAGATCCCTGAATCCATCAAAATCCTGCAGTATCGCTAAAAGCTTGCTGTCCTGAATCCATCAAAATCTCCCAACTTTTTCAATATGAAGGTATCCTGAATCTGCCGAAATCCTCCAAAACGGGGGTGTGGAGTTTGATGGGTTCAGGTACGTTAGGGTTAATACATTTGAAATATATTTTGCAACTATATTGTCACTGTGTTGTCTTTTTATTTGTTTCCAACAAAATGGTAGCTATGTAGAAAGGGTTACGGCTCCTTTGGACACAATTTTGTGTCGGCAAAAGGTTTGAAAAAATGGGAGAATCCATCCGCCATCTTGAAAAATGTACCATCTCGGGAAAAAAAAGAAGAAAAACAAGTGCCCGCTTCCTTTAAAAAAAAAACAGAATGAGAAAGTTTTTTTTTGACTTGGTGGAATCCAATTCTTGTTGCATATTTCTTCTTGCAGTGGTCAGAGTTCATGGAGATCGGCAAGGATGTACCGGACTCGGATCTGGATGACATCATCAACTCCCAGGCCCCCAATCACTGCTGTTCACTCATCTACACCTCGGGGACCACCGGTAACCCTAAAGGGGTTATGATTAGCCATGACGGGGTCAGTGCCATTGAAACTCCTCAACCCTAACCCTCGATCCTTGACCTTTCAAAATCCTGTTTTGCAGGATTTTGCGGTCGACATATAATTGTCGTTTTAGGTGAATTGTATTCCAATCTTACGGTAGTCTTATTGGACTCATTTTGGACTAGCTTGACAGTTTGTCATGCATTGGAACCAGGTACCTGAGTGCCCGACCGCTGATGTCAGGTACCGGTTCCAGATTATGGGATCGTGTACCCGTAACCAACGTTTTACTTCAATAGGGTACCTGGGTTACCGTACTACCCATAAATGCAAACCACTAATTTAAAGAAAACTACAGTTTTTTTTAGAAACTTTAAAAACATTTCATATTTAGTGACATTTTGGAACCTTTTGGTCCAAACATTTAAACATCACTTTTTAATATCTGCTGCGGCTGGTTTGCCCTTTCATTGTACATCTGTCAGAAGAAATAATTTCAAATAAAATTACTTCCAGACAAATTAATATCACTTCTCTTTTTCCAAAGCAATTCACCATGTTGCAATTTCTGGCTGCTTAATTTGACAATTCATAGAAATTTAAATTAGGACAACTAAAGATTTAAAACATTTTTTTTTCGGTTCAAGTGAAATGTCAACTTCCTTCACATTTATCCTGTTCGCGCTGATAAAGCTGATTTTCAAACTAACCACAACAGGAAACTGACTAGGTGCATTAGAATAATTTTACAGTTGAACATAGAAATTGACTGGAGCGGGGTTTGAACCTTTGACCTCTGGATTGTGTTCCGGTGCTCTACCAACTGAGCTATCCAGCCCTATGTTTGCGGTTCCCCATTCTGCCGTTTCATTGGTAGAGCACCAGAACGGCAATCCGAAGGTCGCAGATTCAAACCTAGTCTGTATTATTACAATTGAGCAAATTCGCTGATTAATTATGCAAGAAAACTGCATCTGGATTTAGACCAATCAGCAGGCGCTTTCTATAGCAGGTCTTTGGTCATTAACCTGTTGTCGCGTCATATACATGGATAAAAAAACAACAACAAAGGCTGTTTCACGCTCTCTGTATTATGTTATGTGATACGCACCCGGCTGTTGTTGTATTACAAAACTCTGCATTCGAATTGACCAATCAAGTCCTGATTTGGCATGTTTGGGAATGAAATGGCGTCACAATTTAGTAAAATCGACTCTGATTGGCTGAGGCACGAGATTGCATAAGTCTGCATGCTTTGATATATCAGACGTTAGACAGGAGTCTGGGCTCCGTGGATAACAGGTGATACTCAGACTAGTTTAAACATGGCTCTAGTCAATTTCTGTTTTCAACTTTAAAATTGAACTTCGAGACAACATATATTTAACTGTAACCCCCTAGAGTGATTTACTAGGAACCTTCCTGACTCCTGCAAATTCCAACACCATATGGTAAACTGTGCACAAACACTGTTGGACTCTGATTATTGGTGTCAAGCCTAACCCCATGTAAAGCACAATCAGTTTACTAGTGCAGTGCTCACTCTAACATATTCCAACAAACCCTAGTGTTGGAGTTTGACTGGATGGGGATTGTTAGGGTTAAGGTTATCCAAGCACTTTCATATTGATGCTGAATAATTTTATCCATACAGTTTCTATGGCAAGCTAAGGGGTGTGCAAAGGCCGCCCATCTGAAGCAAGGTTGTGAGATTGTCGTCAGTTATCTACCCCTCAGCCACGTCGCGGCTCAACTCTTTGACATCTACATACCTCTGGTTACAAGCGGAGCCGTCTACTTTGCCCAGCCTGATGCACTCAAGGTAATTGACCTATCGCCGAAAAAGGGACAAAAGGACTACAATGCTCCTACCCCACAGAGCTTCCCCTGATAGCGTCCGTAGCCCCGTATATATGTTAAAGTTAAGGTTAAGTTTTTGCAAAAGATGTGTTACTTCTACATGCTTTCATGGATTTTGAGGAAACTTGGATGCAGTGACCCTTGGGTGGGAAGACTTTAATCCCATGATTTTTATGCTATTTCTTTAAAATATGTAGTAGACATATCAAAGATTACAAATATCACTAAATCTGAAAATTTGAAGAAAAACAAATTAAGTTTTTGCATTTTTGTCTCCACTGAAACCTGTGCCAAGTTCCATCTCATGTTGCCAGAAAGCCTTCACATAATTTGTCTTTGTACCCCTAGGGAACGTTAGTCAACACACTCAAAGAAGTCCGCCCCACAGGGTTCATCGGTGTGCCCAGAGTCTGGGAGAAGATTCAGGAAAAGCTCAAAGCCGTCAGCGCCAACAATTCCAACTTCAGGAAGAAGATCGCGGACTGGGCCAAGGACATAGGGCTGAGAGGAAACATCGCTCTGGAGAAACGGTGAGTCACTGGATCAAGATCATCTGCAGGGGGACGGGAAATGATAATAAAATATCCTCGTTTGGCAAGTTACCCCTTAGACAGCCCTGTGGAATTTTGTGCGTTCAGTTTAGTTTGTCTCAGATTTTGCGCATTCCGCGTCCATTTGTATATCATGTAATTGGACAATATTTCACAAGCTGCGTTGACGCGATTCTACTGCCGTACAGTAGGTTAATTAACACCGAAGTCTGAATAATCAGATTGGAAGGTTTGCATGGTCACGTCGCCAATATACGAAAGTTATCAGCGACACTTTTTGACAATAAAATGTTTTTTGGGGGGAGATATCTGGACAAACTATTTTTTTTCTTTTTATTCCCTTGCTACATTTTTAATATATATTCATAAATACCTCAGACAGTTTAGCTATTCCTATTGGTCGAGAGCCCGTCACGTGGCCGGTCTTAAACGGATGATAAAGACATGGCTAGCTGGTCTTAAACACTTTTCCAGTGTCACAATAAAATGTGGACTCCTAAAAATCCAGTGCCTCTTACCGTTTCATTGGTTGAACGTTCACAATCCTCACGTAGGCATGCGCAACACTACAAGCGAGTCAGAATTTTATAGTTCTAAATTCAAAACGCAACGCCCCAGGTGCGTTCTGCGTGACATCGCGCAGAACATGTTACGCGCGCGTCAATCTCCATAAAAGGGTTGTTTACATCTTACTCGCCAGCTGAACACTCCATTATTTTGCTAGAGGGATGTTTCAGAAAGCATGAAGTGAACTTGTTGAACAAAATCGGGATTTTTTGAACGAATTATTTGATATTTTTTTACGGATAAGGTATTTATGAATGGGAATAAATATGTGCTCGGTCGGTATTTATCACTCTGTTTAATACCGCTTAGAGTCTGGGTGCTGATAATTACCCTCGCCTCCGGCTCGGGTAATTATCAGCACCCAGACTCTAAGCGGTATTAAACGAGTGATAAAAACCTCCGGAGCACACATTTATTCCCTTATTTAAAACAGAGTTTGTTTGTGTGGTTCTTTTGAATGAGACGTCAAACAAAAAAATCTGCCCAACATTTTGAATAACATGTCAATAAGTCCATTTTGAATAACTTACAAAGGCCGATTTGTCTGTGCAACTCTCAAAGTGTTTCAGATGGTTGCCAAAGCAATGAATAATCAGAAGAAAATAAGAAATCCATAACCCCCTAAGGGTTCCTCAGGGCTACCCTGCTAAATCCAACAGAGTCCAACGGTTACTTCCTGTTCGATCCAACAGAATCCAACTGTGCCTAATTTTTTGTTGTCTGCTGCATCCAACAGAGTCCAACTTAACGTTACCAGTACCCAACAGATCAGAATCCGACTCTGTATACATGTATGTCCATGTACATTTGTACCAGGGGTTTACTGCAGGCTCCAACGGGTTTGTGATATAGTTGGATCCTGTTGGATTCAGCATTAAAATTCCCTAGGCCTTTTTGTTAGGATGTAGCCTCAATCCTGCAAAATCCTCCAATTGGCCTCATGGAAAAATAGCATGCAGCCTCAATCCTGCAAATTCCTCCATTGTTACTTGAATGTGGTCCGTACAGGGTGATCGCTGCCTGAATCCTGCAAAATCCTGCAGCAGTGACTGTCAATATGTTGAGGCTTGGCCAGTGACATCCTAGAGCAGTACGGAGGATTTCAAGCATAATCCAGGCCTATATTGATGCATGGCTGAGCAAAAACAATACAAGGTCCGGCCCAAGACCTTGACAAAAGTGCATCCTACAAAATCAGTAATGCACTTTTGCCATTTAACCTCAATCCTCCAAATTCCTCCACTTTGGCAAAGAGGATATTAAAGGATTCAAGGCAGTTAGGGTTAACGTACCGTATGAACATATTCAACAAGTACAGGATACTTTTTATGTGAATCCCTACTTACCGATATGTTTCTCTCATGATGTCTTATTAAACACGCAAACATTAGCGCATTGGAGTACAATCAGATGAGCTGGTGGCAATATATCTGGGGTGCTATCAGGTAGATTTCTTCCCATTTGGTGTTCTATTAAGGCTGTACACATACATTTTTATGGTCTGAACGAAGCTCTGTTTTTTGTGGTGTTTTTTTTTTTAAGTCATTCATTTGTGACCTAATTTTCAGTTATTTTTTGTTGAACTTTTGGCGAAGTTTTTCTTGTGTTGGCATGATGCTACGTGTGTATGTATACATGTTCACATACATGTCAGAGTTTTCAGTCTTTCTGAGGATGAGTTTATGTTGGGACATTTTGCCCTTTATGATTGTTTATCATATTTGTGTGAACAAGAATGGTATTTTCAGTTATTAAATGTTGTACTGTAAGTGCATTGTAATTGTGGAATTTGACATTGCATACAAATGCTTAATTCATTTTTGTTTTGGGGGGGGGGGGTTCATTTTGGCTGAAGAGTTTTTGTGTCTATCACCTCTTTCAGACTTCTGTTTTAGAGTCGTGCCAAACTAAATTATTCCCTTAGATTTGAATTTAGTTTGATGTTTGAAAAAAGTTTTGGAGGGACTACGTGCGTCAAAACGAAAGATCAACTTTTGCAGTCACTCTGAATTGTTTCAGTGTCTGGTTGATATAATTGAAAATTAGTGCCTTCAAAGTTTGGCCTTAAAGTGTCTTCTTGGATTGACAGGAGTCGGCCTTCCAGCTATTTGGTTCCATTTGGTTCTGTTTGGTTCTATGTGGTTCCATTTGGTTCCGTTCTGTTCCGTTTTGTTCCGTTTGGTTCTGTTTGGTTCTGTTTGGTTCCATTTGGTTCTGTTTGGTTCTGTTTGGTTCTGTTTGGTTCCGTTTGGTTCTGTTTGGTTCTATGTGGTTCCGTTTGGTTCCGTTTGGTTCTGTATTCTATTTGGTTCTATTTGGTCTGGCACGACTCTTTAGTCTGAATCATGTGGAGATGTAATTTCATCATCTTTCAACTTGTGTATTATTTGAATGCATCGGTGTTTTACTATCCACGTGAAAGTGTAAAATTGGCCCATCTGACATGTTATCGTTGAGAAAAGAAACAACCTGCTTTCACTGTAACAGAGAGCATGCCCATTGAGTGAGTAACAAAAGTATTCAAGTTCTGCTGAATTCATGTTTATAAAAGTAACATTAGAACAAAGATTTAAGTGGTGCACCACTGGGTGTGGTTTTGCTGCTCAACATAATTGTGTTTTCAACTGTTTTGTGATGAAGATCATTGCATGGCCCACCTATCACTGCATTCCTTTGTCATAGCTCATTACTGTTACTTGTGACCTGACTTGCGATTGACTTGCGATTGACTTGCGATTGACTTGCAGTTGACTTGCAGTTGACTTGCGATTGACTTGCGATTGACTTGCGATTGACTTGCGATTGACTTGCAGTTGACTTGCAGTTGACTTGGGATTGACTTGGGATTGACTTGCGATTGACTTGCGATTGACTTGCGATTGACTTGCGATTGACTAGCAGTTGACTTGCAGTTGACTTGCGATTGACTTGCAGTTGACTTGCAGTTGACTTGCGATTGACTTGCAGTTGACTTGCAGTTGACTTGCAGTTGACTTGCGATTGACTTGCGGTTGACTTGAGATTGAGTTACAATTGACTTGCGATTGTCTTGCTATCGACTTGGACTCACTTGTGATAGACATACCACATGTTTCAAACTGTCATAACAATGAAATGGATCTAAAATTTATTCTTTATGTTTGTAACAGTCAACCAGTGCCGTGGGGATGGACGTTGGCCAATATGATTGTCTTCAAAAAAGTAAGTGTCAGACATTCTGAAGGTTTGTAGCATTTGAAGTAGACCATAACTTAAGCCATGTTTTGTTGCATAATTTGTGGACGTGCATGAAACTTGTCATGCATAAATGTGCTGTACATGTAAAGTTGAGTGAAGCAATTTGTAATTTTTTTTTTGATGAAATCAACTTCAACTGTGAATCATGATTGAAATAAGTAAGTTGCTTTGTCCACATTTACTCACTGGCTGGTCTGTTAGCTTAATTGGTAGAGCACCGGAGCAGTGTTCCGGCGGTCCCAGATTCGAGTCTAGTACCAATCAATGTCTTTGCTACACCGAATATTCAGACTTGAAATGAATTGATTTGTCCAACTGTACTTGCATGTTTGTTTAGTTCAAGAGTAGAGCACCGGTGCAATGTTCCAGAGGTCTCAAGTTTGAATCCCGCTCCAGTCCTTATCTTTACTGAATCATTTATCATAATTAATTAATTGTCCATCTCTACTTGTAGGTTCGTCAGGCTCTGGGATTGGATCGTTGCTTCTTAACCTTCTCAGCTGGTGCCCCGATCGCTACCGACACTCTCAACTACTTTCTGAGTCTTAATATACCCATCTATGACATCTACGGAATGAGTGAAAGCTCAGGTATACTGTTTGTCATGTTCAACTTTTTGTTTGATGCCTTATTGGGTATGGGCTCCATGCACAAGTACCCCTTCAACAGCCAGAACAGGAGAGTTGGGGGAAACCTAGACCGGTTCCCGAACAATCCACTGCATATTTCGAATGATCCAAAGTTATTGGGGGCCGGGATTAGTCTGGGAGACCATCGCAAGATAAATTTGAAAGTATTCGCGCGCCGACGACGCCTGACGCTCACGCGAAGACACTGTGGCTAATAGCTTTAGCACATTCAGGATGTCGTGCATTATCCGCACGAACCAGTACAGTACTGTCTGCACAGGCTGTGTGTCCCATCCAAGGGGCTGTCAAAAGTGGTAAAAAACGCCCTCTTTTGTTGGTGCACGGATCCCATAGTTTTCTGAAATACGGGGATGACAGTGTAATTTGGAAAAAATGATGTTAAAATCTTGTTAGGGCCTGGCAGCCGATAATGGCCCTCACTGACCTTTTCGGTCCAACACCACAAATAGTTGGTAAGGTTGCAAACTTCCCAATGGTTTTGTTCTACCATTTGATGTTTTTTTTAGGGCCGCATACGATATCCGTCCCTGACTGCTACAAGATGGGAAGTGCTGGTCAGTGTCTGAAAGGAGCTGAGACTAAGATACATGAGCCTGATCAGGAGGGCATCGGAGAGGTAAGTACTGCTAAACATGAAGAAAGAAACTTGCCAAGCGTGGGACCTTGTTAGCTTTGTACATGCAGGGTCCAATTTCATGGCTAAGCTTACTGTCAGCAAAAAAATCCCGCTTAGCTAAAATATTCTGAGCTTATGGTAAGGATATCTCACGGGTTAGTGATGAATTCTTTATTTATACACATCCCGTATCTAAGGATTCTGTGCTTTCAGGGTAAGCACACAGTGGTTATCGTCGTCGTACAGCTAACGTTGTATTAAAGCACAGAATGGTTACTGTAAGCGCGTAATTTTGTAATAAATAGGGTTTCACAGATTTGTTTTACTTTCTGCAACAAAGAACGCCACCTATTGTCCGATGGTGTCCAATATCATCTGCTTTGAATAGCGCCTTCTATAGTCAGATGATGCTCAACCCCTACCCCAAGTTTTGGTTTTTGCGACGGCCGGCTGACCAGATTAAAAAAATCCTGGCTAACGTTCAGCACTGAAAGTCTGCTTCCCCCCCAATTCCTTGGCAAAATGACTATTACCATTTCAAGTACATTGCAAATTGACCATTAGTTTACCAGTCATCCTTTACGCGAGAAATGATGGTCCTTTTAAACTGTAGGTGTGCTACAATGGACGTCATGTGTTCATGGGCTACCTGAACATGGAAGAGAAGACTAGAGAAACTATAGATGAAGAAGGCTGGCTTCACTCTGGTGATCTGGGGTACGTGGACGACAAGGGATTCTTGTACATCACTGGAAGAATTAAAGGTATGTCAGAGAGTAGATCCAACTATTTTTGTTTGTCTGTCCGTCGGCCTGTTGGCTGTCTGTCAGTCGGTCGGGAATCCTTGGTCAAGGCGTACGTCGAACGTGTTCTTGATGGTATCTGGCCGCTACTGTTAGCACTACTAGCAGTGCACCATGCATTGTACGAAACGTGAACAGTGACCGCACGTGGCTACATGCAATATGCAAATCAGCTAGGATAGAACGAACGCCTTGGGACAACGGTTCGCATTGGGCCCCCCCAAAAAAGTCTCCGGTTTCTGGTATGGAGCTTGTCCAAAAAGTGGTGCGGCGACGCGGCTTTTTGTTTATTTTTACCTAACTTTTTGCTTCAAATGTCGGCTGATGACTGCAAATGGTGCCCGACTAAACTTAGTGAAAATATATGGGAGTCCAGAGATGCCACATAAAGCTTATTCTCGATCATAACCCCATCTAAAAACACGTTAAAATTGTGCAGCAGCAGGATTCCAGTCAAACCAGTGAGTTTGGCGGTTTTGAGACATCATCTTTCATTGAAAAAAAAACTTTTTCATTTTGCCGACGCGCATGGCTACGGCGACGCGCGCGCATACCAGAAACCGGAGACTTTTTTTTTGGGCCTTGGCTTAGCTTTTTCTTAATTTTGTTGCTGTATTTATATCTAGGTATATTTGGTCTGGGGACTGCAAACTTGTGGGAGAATGTAGCCACACATCCCGCTGTCTATCCATGTCAAAAGATGAGTGTCCACGGCCCAGTTGTGATTAATAATCTCATCTGTATTTGCGTATGTCAAATTAGAGAAAATCATTAGAGAGTTTTCTATTAGTGCACATATGAACATCTTCATCCCTTAAAAATTCGTTAAAGAGCCATTTTCCCTTGAATTACAGTGAACTAAATTTTCATGGATTTTTCAACATATTAAGTCAGATTAGGAGTCCGTGAAAACACTGTTAAGAAAGTCCTTTGTTTACCCATGGAGATAGACCCAGTGTACCGTTATGTATAACCAATGATAATCCTCAGTGGCCAGGGTCATTAAAAAAACCGTGAAAATACCCTTAGAGGATTAGTCCTATATGAGCCCCATGTAAATGTCGGTGAAACATCTCTTAAAGATTCTTTTCACGGAGAAGTGGACTTTTAATGAAAATTGAAGGGATCAGATATTCGTCACAAATAAACCAGTAGTCCTCGATCCACTAAAACTTAAAAATTGTGTGGTTTTTTTTCCATCAGAGCTGATCATTACGGCCGGCGGGGAGAACGTCCCACCGGTACCCATTGAGGACACCATCCTAAATGAGACACCCATACTTAATAACTGCATGCTGATCGGGGACCGACGCAAATTCCTGTCCATTATTGTCACATTCAAGGTAGGTCGTTCACTTATATACCGGTACACCCTGGCCTTTGGGTCTGAAGTTTGACTCCATGGGAAGAATTTCATATCCGAACATCATGCATTTGCCACCAAACTTTAAAAATTCACCTCACCTTGTGTTTTCATGGAAGACAACTCCATTATGCTTGGGGAAATTGAAATCCTCAGTGGAAAAGGTGTTTTTTAGGCCATATTTTGAGTACACATATCAGACAGATGATCCATCACGGAGGCAGCCATATTGAAGCATCATCATGATAACAGTGTGACCTGAACACAATGAATAATCATACCCCAGTTTGTTCCATTCTGTGTTGCAACATGAACATTTTAAGGGACACTTTTTTCTTCACACACCCCTGTATGTCCATTTAATGCACCTTATTTGATTAGATATTTACCCCTTCGATTGGAAGAAACCTACTTAACCATACGTCATGTAATAATGTTGTAATATTCCTACGTACATGTAGTTGGCTGCCTATGAGAGGGGTCTATTGGGCAACACGCCTGCAGGATACTCAATTGTACTTCCAATATGCGTTAGAACATTGGCCAATAAATTGTACGAGTTTTGTGTACACATGAGGTACACCACGTTAGCCAGTCGGGTTGGCCAGTCTTACTTGGCATTGGAACATCAACCAATGAAGAAGCGTGTTTGCCTCATGAATATGTATGAGGTGAAATTACAAAAAACTGCCCATCGACTAAAGGCTGATCTTGAGTCCCTACACTTGTACAGTATACTTCTAAAATGCATAATTGGAACATTGGCCAATACATTGTACCGGTACGAGGTTTGTGTACATGTATGAGGTGCACCACGTTAGCCAGTCGGGTTAGCCAGTCTTACTTGGCTGGCACATTGGAACATCGACCAATGAAAGGAGCGTGTTTGGCTCATGAATATGTATTAGGTGAAATTACAAAAACTGCCCAGGGAGTAAAAGCTGATCTTGAGTCCCTACACTTGTACTTAAAAAATGCATTGGAACATTGGCCAATAAATTGCATGAGGTTTGTGTACATGTATGAGGTGCACCACGTTAGCCAGTCGGGTTAGCCAGTCTTACTTGGCTGGCACATTGGAACATCGACCAATGAAAGGAGCGTGTTTGGTTCATGAATATGTATTAGGTGAAAATACAAAAACTGCCAATTGAGTCAAGTTTCATTTAGAGTTCCTGATCCTCGCAGGTCATGATCGATGAAGAAACTCAGGAGCCAACGGAGGCACTGAACGCCGAGGCCCTGTCCATCTGCGCCAAGCTGGGCAGCCAGGCCAAGACGGTCAGCGAAGCCATGGAAGACGAGAAGGTACAACAGAGCATACAGAAAGGAATAGATGCCTACAACAAGCAGGCCTCCTCACGGGCGCAGATGGTGCAGAAATTTAAGGTTGTCGAGAAAGACTTTACTGTCGCAGGAGGCGAGCTTGGTAAGTTGAATCCTAGGCACTTCCAGGGGGATTTGGGGAGGATTTTGGCAGGATCGAGGAAGGAAGACGTAGGAACTTGTACTTGGGGACTGATACCCGTTGAAAGTATGGGGAATGTTTCCGGCCTATGTGCTCCGTGCGTGAAAAAGAGAGGGTTCTTTTTTACCAGTTTGGAGAGCCCAGGTGTCAGGACACACTGTGTACATGTACAGGTTAGAGTGCGTATAGTGCAAAGTGCGCATTACTAATTTCGTTCTTAATGTGCACACAAAAAGATAATGTGAATGTGACATAACTTGACACCTGATGACATCATCATGAAGCCAAAGTTTGCAACACATCTACAATAGCTGAGCTACAAATGAATGCCTCTGCCAAATTTAAATTGATTGATAAAAATACTCAAAGATTGATAAAAATGCTCTAAGTGTCTATTAGAAAGAAAACGTGTACTAATGTTATGGACAAGAGTGTGAAAAAGAAAGAAAGAAAAAAAAATCCTGACAAAATCAAAAGCTGTTTGTTTCATAGCGTGAATAATTAAATGAAAAAAAACCCAAAACTTTGCTGTGGAGGGTTACACTTTTTAATAGCATAATTTTTTCTCCGATTTTCTTTTCCCAGGTCCAACACTGAAGCTGAAACGGCCAGTTGTCACAAAGCAATACGCCGAGTTGATAGACTCGATATACGAATAAAAATCGCTCCGTGTGTTTTTGCCGGTATTATAGACTACAATGTATATCGCAAGTTACTCCCTAGTACACTGATCCATTAAGCCCAGCCCACCCCACACATGGGCAACAACATGTGCGCCTCTACAATGCCAAACTGCACGTTCCATGCGCGTACATCCTGGGCAAGTGCACACATGTTGGACATCTGCACGCGTATGGTAGACATCAAATTGCGGCTTTGATTGATCAGAACATCCTGGGCGGAACTTAGTGGATCCGTATATTCACGCGGTGGCTGAAAAAAATGTTTGCATGAGAAACAGGATTTGATGTTGATCAGGCACAACGGACTTGAAAATAAAAGTTGAATAGACAATTTGGAATTTCTATTAAGAGTGTTATTATTTTGTCACCGACACCACGAACTGACACTCAGTTGCGCGTGGGTGCCTTGCACGTGCACATATTTACAGAACCGCGTTTTCACGAACTGACACCTTATACATTGACGCTTGTAGTGAGCACTGTGCATTTTCGTTTTCAGAAACTGACACTGAACTTAATTTCACCAGTTAAAAGGTTTTTAATTAAATATTTGTGTAATGGGATAACACAACAATACGGATGGATTAAACACAAGTTTGCGGATGGATTAAATTCGTGTCAAACCTTTCAGAGCGTTTTTCTCTGCATAGTATTGCCGCAACATGCTTGCGTGTCAGTTCGTGAAAACGAACATTTCTATTACGCTTCAATGTCAGATGTGCGCGTGCACACCCGGGTGTCAATTCGTGAAACCGAAATTGTTAATTACGCGGTTTTTACGAACTGACATCCACCATAGCACGTGAGTGTCAGTTCGTGGTGTTGGTGACGATTTGATGTAGTCGTTTTTAGCGTTACGACTCATCTGAAAAGATTTGCCACTATGAGATGTACAAAATCAATCTGATTCTTAGTAATTTTTGTTTGCTTGTAAATTGAAGTGCATTGTGTTGTAGGCAAATATCAACAAATTGTATGTGAAACTTAAAGTAATTTTCTGTGTTACAGTTGTGTTTGTAAATTCCTGCAGTGATTTTAGGTTCAAATATTACGACTTTCTGGATAAAATCTAGCATATATCCAGTACATGAATATAATGTAAGACAATATAGTACATGTGACACATAAATTTCAAGCAATGATTGAAATTGTTGATTTCTCAGTTTTGTTGATTTTTAATTTTAGATACCTACCATTAACCATTCTCACTAGCCTGCATAGTCCTACTCTTTTATGTCGTAAGACGGTACCCTGCCAAACCAAGTCCACATATTTACTGTTTTAAAACTCGTTGTCAGCCAATGCGATTGTCTGCGTAGACTTGGCGACATTTCCCTGCACACACTTAATATCGTAATAAAAATAGCCCCTCATCAATACCTTCCTCCCCGCCTTCTACTTTTGGTTTAGCCCCTCCCCTCTCATCCATCACACCCCCTGAACTGAGTGTGTATCTGTCCAGCCAGGCATGAAGATACATATTTGCTATTGTTAGCCCAATGTGCATGGATTTGAATGGCCATGTGTGCTTCAGTCTGCTGGGTGCTGTGCTAGGGATAGGTTGTCTGTGGACAGTGGAGGGCTGTGCTGGTTTTGCCTGGGCGTGGCCGGAGAAAGCCTTGCTGTCATGTACCAAGTAAGTTGTGGTGCAGGACAGCTTAGTTAAATCCCCCCCCCCCCTCGGGTTGGGAGTAGAGTTATGGTGCTTTTACCATAAGCTAACACACTCTCTGTAACCATCACCGAGCCCCGCCCTCGTAATTTCCTGCATGGTTGTACTTGCATTCACTTTTACAACAAATTCCTTTATACATTATTTTCATTAGCTTATATCGTAGCCCTACATTGCCCCCAGATTTAAAACGAAGTGATAAGAATAAGTTGGCGGATCGAATTTTTCTAAATAAAGAAATTTACTTGTAGCCTATGAAATATCCATTCCATCTCTGAGTTTTTTTTTGTCTCGCTGCGACCCCTGACCTCGCTACAGTAAGCCTGCATGATCACCAAAGACTTTCCATTCAATGCCTCTTAAATGGCAGAGATGTCTTTGTTGGCGTGAGGATTGGTAGGGGCAAGAGGCTGTGCTACATGGCCTACCCAGTGGCAGCCATGTAGCGCGAGGTACATGTAGGTACGGTTGATGGCCGACCGTACCATAGATGAGTTCATGTTGGTGATAACTTTTGTAACAATTGTGTCAATCCAGGAGGTCTCATGAATACTTAATCTCACGAGGTCAAAAATAGTAAACATTATGGACTTGGTTTGCTAAGGTACCGTGTTGCGACGTACGAGAGTAAGGCTACTAAATTTTCTGTACCGTGGCTAGCTAGGATACAATTTAACAGAACTAACCGGTGTATTAAGTAAAGTGTAGCCTAAACTAACGTTTTCCTATCTCACAGGGTAACTTTACTTCAGAGAGGACCATTATATATACAACTATTCAACCTATCAAGTCTTTTAACATAAGCTATATTGATTTTCTTTAATAGATATTAATAGTGCAACACAAACAAAAAGGAATGCCAGTACAGGATGTGTGCTCGAATAGTTGATGCAATATTAGGTAGGCCTATATCAAAGTTTCTTGCAAGTTTACACAAAAAGGTTTGTATTGAGATCAGGGCCCAAATGCATGGCTCCGATTACTGTTAACGAAAAATCCCTGCTTACTATTTCAGAAAATTCTGTGCTTACGGTAAACGTATTTCACGGGTTAGCATGGAATTGTTGCTGGACGCGCATCCCGTAACTAAGGATTCTGTGCTTACAGGGTTAGCACAGAATATTTATGCTAGCGCGGTAAGCACAAAATGGTGATCATAAGCACGGCATTCTTTGGTTAGCAGAGCCATGAAATTGGGCCCTGGTTTTAAACCCTGTAAATACAACTGTTCTGAGGTTCCACAGTATTCAGTTTATAACTGAAAGAAAAGTTAATTAAAAATATATCACCAACTTTATTATACTTAATGATTTTGTTGTTGGGGGATGCAGATGTAGATTTTCGGTCCAACAAAATTAAATTAGTAGTGTACTTTAAAAATAAAATGTTCGGGGAATTGAACGAATACAGTTGTATATCTCTTAAGTTTGTGTTGGTGCTACAAATTGATGCAAAATGAAACACAACTACAGCACTTGGCAACTTGTACACAAAATTAAAAACTAAAAAAACAAGCAGAATGCCCAGTAGAATAAATGGATAAGAAAAACACTCTATGCATACTTAACTGTGTTTTAGTGGGTTGACGGGTCATGTATCAGTAGTATATACATTAGGCCTGGGCGAGTAGTGGATATTTCTACTCGAGTACTTGCAAAGAAATTTCTTGCGAGTAGTCGAGTACTGGTGAGTAGTTAACTGAATTCCCATAAAAGCAGAAAATGAAATATACGTTAGTATGACGGGAAATAACTACAAGCAAATAGCCTGCAAGTCGCATCACACTCTTCAGCACTGAGTTATCCCGAGTTATACTGTGCGACATTTACATGTGTACATGTACTTGAAACTTGTTTTGACGAATAGAATCCTAGGGAGAGAGAGCTGGAGGGAGTGATTTCCTGTTTGCAGGGGATGTATTAAGCCGTGAACCCTAAACCCTAAATTGCTACTCATGAGTGCCTGCTCCTCGCGCCAGGACGAGTACTCGAGTAGATGAAAAACCACTAGTAGAACAATAAGTAGTATAAACAACTCGCGAGTACTTAAGTAATCAAGTTACTCGCCCAGCAGTAACCTACATGCATTGCCCCTTGTAAACTTGCCTTCTGTAATAATTGTGAATCTGAAAGTCTAAAGGCCCATTCCTGCATGCAGACAGCAGGGAGACCTTCAAATTTCCTGCAAAAAAAATGTTCGAATCCGCCTACATCCCTATATAATAAGTGAATTAGTGACGTCAGTACATGTGCAGTGTAGCCTGTTATATACAGTATTATTACAGGGGTCTTGTCATGGTAGCTTTCCAATGTGACCAAAATCTGATTACGCCCAATATTAAAAGCAGGTATACATTTTAGCCGCGACTGGCAAATTGAATCTTTAAAATTAATACTGTGAATTATTTAACAATACAACGCACAAGCCTAGTTTATGAAGACAAATTAAAGTTGTTATTCAAAATTGCTCTTCGTTTGTTTGAAGGATTTTTGAAGACTTATTCATGATGTTGCTCTTAGTATGTTCAGATGGACTCTACTGTACATAGTTAATGAAAATGCCGTGTCACAATTGTTGGAATTGATACTTTTTCCCCATTTAATGTAATTTACTCATCAGTTCTCAGTTCAGTTTTTGAAGCGCAGGACATGTACAGGTACACATGTAGCAAGTAAAAATGGTAATGTCTTTTTAGTTTTATTCAATTCTTTTTATGTTTCGTATCGTATCAGATACAATTCACCTAGATTCATTTTCCATGTTTTGTTGATCTTTAACATTCTAATAGTGAGCATACACGTAATTGTGAGTATATCTAATATATGAATGCACATTTCTCGTGAGAGTTTACCTCAACCATTCCGCCCAGCCTAGTGTATTAAAATGTTGCAAAGCACTTGATAACAAATTAGCACCGTAAACAAAATTATTAACACAACTGCAGTTACAGGTCAAAATTTCATGTTGTGATGAAATCGGCAACCGTACAGTAAATATGTGCTTACCAAATAAATAAGGTATACCAAATAAATAAGGTAACTTAAATGTGCTTACCAACTTGCTAACCACCGTAATGAACCCCCCCCCCCCCAAATCTGCTTTACGGTTATACAAGCAGTGATAATTATATGCAATAGGTATTTGTAACAGCCCTCATGTGAGCATTGTGTGATGGTACATGTGGCAGTGTGCAGTGGCAGTGTGCTGTAGAAGTGACTGCGTATATAGTGAGCAGGATTGTTATTAGGAAAATCAAGACCAAGTCTTCAAGTTGGGACCTTTTGTCAGTGTGCCACAGTGTTTTTCCCAGTAATCTAGTCACATGATTGTGTTAACTCTTAAAAGCTGAAAATTGCTTGAAGGAAAACGTCTTACTTTTCATGTATAATCACGCTGACCAGGTTTTGCAGTAAACAGTAACTAACAAGGTACCACAACTAAGGGCTAGCTCAAGAGAAGAAAATGCTTGTCACTAAATTTTCAATTAGGCCAACCATCTTTGCTGATAATTATCAAGTTTAAATGATTCAGTATTTTGTAGCATAATATTCATTTGAATTTGTTATTGAGTTGATATTTTATAATTTGGACAAGTACTTGCCACCAGCAGGTTTAGTTCTCCTGGG